GTGCCTTCCCTCCCCATCCCACCTCTCTGCCCCCCTGCCGAGAGCCAGGTGTCTGGCTAAACAGGAGGGAGCATTTAGAGTTTTCTGTAGCTCACCTTTGGGATTTGACCTGCAGGTCCAAGCAGCCCTGGCACTCGGCACTCTCTGTGCAGAGAGGCTGCATGTACCTGCAGTCACCTCCTCTCTGCCCTTTGCATCAGGGGTGTGCCCTTAAATCCCAGGTGAAAAGCATCCCTCCAATTACTTTTTTGATAGTAGCAGCTCTTTGCTGAGCTCCCTGGTACTAAGTCTTCTTTGGCAAGATATGCATGGGGTTCGTGAAAATAGGACTGAAAGTATCTGGGTGTAATCAGGCTGGCCGGCGTGGGCCCCTGCAGCCGCATCCTGACCTGAGCAAACAGCACTTACTGTAGTCTGAGGGCTGAAGGTTGGAGATGGTTCTGCCTCTCCCGCGGGTTTTTCTTGGGGTGGATGTGAGCAGCAGAGTTCAGCTCTGGCTCTGAACTCCCCCTAGCTATGCGGGTTTTGTTTGGCACGTTCTTCCTCACCCTTCTTCCCTCACTTCACCAGCTAAATTCAGACAAGGCGCATGTATGCATAAAAGCTGTCAAAAGAATAACTTACAAGCACAGGAGCTAGAAGAAAAGACTTGAAGCCTAAAGCTGGCAGTCCCTGAAGGGCTGCGGGGACTATCCAATCCATCTGGTGCTCCTGGGTGCACAGCAAACAGGCTTTTGACTAGTTCATAACCGTGGCACATGCGAATGGCTCAATTATTGCTTCTTAGAAAAACCAAATTATCTCCTGGAGTCGGAGATTGACAGCCACACAGTCTCCGCAGCGTTACGCACGGCTGAATTTTTGCTGGCTTATTCTCTGCTGTTCTGTACTGCCTGTAATTGCATTGCATTTTAATTGTTTAGCATCGTCAGAACTTCTGCCCCGGGGGCAGCGGAGGTGGTGAGAGCTCAACACATCAAATTACTACCCAAAGAGCAAGCAGACAAAAAGCAGAGTGGGAAGGGAGGGAAGGAGGGAGGGAGACAGACAAATGAGCCACGTTCATTAGAAGAACAGCAACCCTGACCGGGGAAGTGTCCTACTGATGTAATAAGAAAGCAGAAAGTTGTTAATAATAATAAAGAGCACAATAACACAGTTGCTTTTCTCTCAGAAAACACCACATCTGGAAAAAATTAATGCACCATGGAAAGCAGAGAAGAAAACCAGCAAAATGCTCCTTGCCCACATAGCCCTGTCTTCCCTCCCAGTTTTATTCAGTGGCGGTTTTTGCAGGGGTGAGTTCTGTAGTTGTACTGTTTGGTGCTGTTCCCTTGAGGGTTATGCTGTGGCCCCGAGAGCTGGCATCTCTGCTACAGAAACTCCGCCGTGCGAGGCAGCGAGGCACGCTTTCTCACAGGCAGGCTTGCGTTTTGCCCTTGGCCAGCCACAGGTCCTGAGCCCTGCTCCTTTTACTTCCCCCAAAGATGCTGCAAGTTCAAATCCTTAGGGCAGGTTTTGAAGGAAAGAACCGTTCCCAGGCTGTCCCATGGCACAGGGAACAGTGGCAGTGGTGAGGCAGAGTGGGACGGGTATGACACGGCACACCGCGCTTGCACAAGTTGGGCAGAAAGTGCATCTTTTTTGTCTCCTCTGGAAGGCCTGCCCATGGGGACCAAAAGGGGTGGATGCAAAGGCTGTTGATGAAATAAATTAATTTTGCCACCTATGAGCATCCTGAAGCACTTCAGAGCCCGTGCTGGAGCTGTACTGCTGAGGCACCCCAGTAGCTTTAACCTCAAATAACAGACTAAACTCTGTGCAGCACTTGGAGCTGCTTAATACCCTCAAGTTACAGGAGATCCTTCCAGGGAACAGGTACCACACAACACGGCAGCCACAACGTGACAGCCACCGGACAGAGGGTTACCCGTGGCTGCCTGAAGAACAGCCCCGGAGCTGCCCACCACGGCGCGGGGCCCTCCCCTCCCAGCACGACCTGCTGGGTGTCCCTTGCAGGCCACCAGCGGGCTGCCCCTGGTTTTTCTCCTGGCTACCTGCAAAGCCACAGGCAGATAAGATCACCGAATCACAGAATGGTTTGGGTCAGAAAGGACCTTTAAAAGTCATCTAGTCCAGCCCTCACATGAAGGCAAACGGACGGGCACGTCAGCAGGCATAGCCGGTGCTTCCAGCCATGAAGATGCTGGGGGTAGCAGGTGTCTGGCCCTGGCCCGGCACGGCCCGGTGGGGAAGTGCCTCTGCCATGGCTCCTCACCCTGGGGAGCGTGCAGAGTGGACGCAAGGGACCTGTCTGTGCTGCGTATTCTGAGGGTATTGGCATTTCACATCAGCTGCATTCACCGGGGTTAATTAAAGCCTGTGTTTTATAGATTGTCCTCGGCCATAAACTGAAAAGCTGCCTCAATTGGGAATCAATATAGCAATCTTTAAGCTCATTTATTATATTAGAGTCCTAATCTGAAGAAATCGAGGAGCCACAATTAATGGTGCCAGAGTGGCCCCCCAGCTGTATGTTTAAAGCTTCCCGAGGGGAGCGCTTTGCCCGTAGGCACGGCGTGCTGGAAGCGCCGGGCACGCCGGAGCGCAGCAGCGGGGCCGGGGGGTGCTCGGGCGGGCGAGCCCCGGGGAGCGCTCTGCCGCCGCAGAAATCCAACAGCACGTCAGCAGCCGGCACGCCGCGCTGCTCCCTTGCCCCAAAACCGAAGGGCAGGCTGCCAACGGCAGCGTTGCCACCACGGGGAACAGCAGGCAAACCCGACCCCGGGGGTCAGCCCAGGGCTGCCGGCAACCGAGGCGCCCCCGAGCTCCGGCCAATGCCCTCCCCGGCCCGAGCCGGCGAGACTTACGGGCTCGAGGCCCTTCTCTAAGTCTGCTGCGTGCCGGTGTGTGGTTAAAGGGTTCACCCCTCTTCCGCGGGACGGAGTCACTCCGAAACCACAAAAGCCTTTGGGCATTTTGGAGGGGGAAGTACCCGGCTGGTGCTACCGCTTCCCCTTGCAGCGGCCTCGCTGGCAGGCGGTTCAGCTTTCCCACACCAAGCAGAGGGTCCCCCAAGGAATATTTTTTATTTAAGCACCTTTCTGGGTGGTGCCGTAAGCAGCCTGTAAATAGTTCTGTCCACAGACCCTGGGGTGTCAAGGGGCGGAATGATTCCTGTGATCCAGTGAGCAGAATAATGAACAAAAGACCTGACTGGTTCATGAGAAGCTCAAATGACGCCCTTGGTCAAACATGAAAAAAAAAAAATTAAGTACTCAGGAGGCTAATAAACTGTTTGTGGGATTTTTAAAAGCACCTAATGACTACCTTTTCAGTCCCTACTTTTTAGAAGTAATTATTTTAATTTTTCTCTGCTGTTTTCTCATTTCTGGACCTTTTTCCTGTCAATAATGATCAAAGTCTTTTTCCTTCTGGCATTTTTCCCTCTTATATGAGTCAAGTAAGTTGCTTGATACAGAAGTTTAGAGTACAAAGCCAATAGTCAATAGATACACTGTACCACACCTTTTTTTTGTTGTTGTTTTTCTTCCCTTTAATGCCCCCCTGTCTTGTTTGGGACTGGAGCCAAAATTATCAGTGTGCTGCAGCTGGTCACTCCCAAAACATTGCAAGTCTTTTAACTGACCACGGTTAGGACTCTGAGAAGGGCTCAGGGAAGCTTTTCTATCCTTGAGGACCGTGACTCACCTTCCCAAGTTGAGTGTGAGATGAACAGTGCTGAAAACACCTTTCTCTCCTGGCAAACCTGAGCCCTGCAGGCTTTACTGACAGTGGCAAACCATGACTAACAATGCCCCAAACAAAGTCTTTGTCAGCCAGTTATGCTCTTTGGTCTTGGATTGTAACATCAGAATGATATGCTTGACCTAAAAACTTGTTCAACTAGTAACTCATAAGCTGAACTAATTTGAAAGCAGATCCAATTCACTCGCATTCACGTGGGCATGCTCATTCCACACTGAAGTGGATGTCATTCACATCTGTAGCAAATGATGACACAGAAGCTGAAGAACACTCAATTTAGGTGGGAGTGTCCATAGAAGACATAGTTAAACTTTAGTGGAAAGTGTTTTGCAAATGCAGCTCCACTTTCCTAGGTATCCTCACATAGCCTAGTGCATGTGGAGGACCAACTTTTACTTTTGGGGTTTTTTTTTGGCCACACTAGTGAGTAGAAAAACTCGAGTGGATCTTTTAGACATGTATTGCACTAGAGCTGTTGAGCCAGACCACTGGAATTGATTTTTCATTTCTTTCTCATTTACCTGAACCATTGAGTGTAACTCTTCTTCGGTTACTGAGTTCTCTCTGCAGTTGGTTCATCACCTCCCACTAAAGCCAGTTCCAGCATCTCCAGCTTTGCAGAAGACAGACCCCCAAATATTCTCCCATTCTGTGCTTTAGAGATATCCTCCAAGCAAATCTGTCTTCTCTCCTTCATATATACATCAGTTCTCTCCTGATCCTTCACAAGGATGGAAGTTCATACGTTTCCCTTTACCACAAGCTCTGTTGCCTCAGGGGTTAAGAGGATCACAGGTTCTTCACTTCTGCTCTCCCCTAAACCCACCTCGTTTGCTCCACACACACCCACAGAAGCCAGTCACTTTGAGACGCATTTCCCAGCCTTCCCATGAGAGCCTGGCTGCCTGACATGCCCCTTTATCATGAAAAGCCCAAACATCTTCCCCTGTTTTGGTGCTTTTTGTTTTTCCAGTACCAAGACTTGCAGTGAGCCCTCCTCTCTCACATCAACTCTTGTAACGAGGAGGAGTTTTCTGTACTCCACTTGCCACCCCAGCGTGCCTTCTGCAGGGCCTCATGCTCCCTCCAACACCACCATGCCCAGGATATCTAATGTCTGCTCTCTAGGCTCACCGTAAAGAGTTCAGCTCACCCTCTGCTACCTGCATGCAGATTAATGAACAATAGTTGCATTAGGTACGGGTAATGAATCGCAGAGAGAAAAAGAAGAGCTGCTTAATAAAGAGAGTAACTTTTAATAGGCAGTTGTTTTTTTTTTTTTTTTCTTGACACATCACGGTAATTTCTGAACAAATTTTGCGCAAACATATATATATATTTCACAATCTGTCTCTGCTTTTCTCTACTGTCCGTTTGGTATGATGCAATATGCTACGAAATACTTTTTTTTCTTTTCTTTTCTTTTTTTTTTTTTTTTTAAATCAACATGAAAATCCACAATGATTGCTTTTTTCATAGGAAACTTCATCAGTTAGGAAGCTGAAAATTTGCAGATGTCAACTAGCATATTTTAGATGGCCTGACCTTTCCAAAGTAGGCATCCAAGGCTCTGCTCCTGAGCAACCCAAGTGATCCAGGAATGAACCATGTAAGTTCAGCTGCAGCACAGAGGACACTTGTTGGTTCCCCATCTTTTACAGAGCTTCATCAAAAGTTTTTCTTGGTGCCACTAAGACTGAGGATTATTAGACCCATCAAAGTGGAGAGAAGAGCACTGATCAAGCACAGGGAAATGAACGCTCTTCAGCTTCCTGTAAAACCATGAACTAACAAATCTGCTCAATATCTGACCATACTTCTAGGTAAGTTTTATTATTTCAGAGAGGGAAATTGGAGAGAGAAGTTCCTCAAAAGCATTGCATCAACATGTGTAAAAACTTAGATCATCATCCTGGCTCTTGGTCCTGCATATACACCACCAGTTGTCTTCTTTCCATTAGCCAGTGAAACAATGGCAGTTCTTGGCATGCTACCAGAGTCAGTGGGTTGAGACTGAGCAGATGCTCACAGTCATATAATTTTCAAACATTTATAGTTCTAGAAAAGTAGGATACATGCAGGTAGAAGCACTACTTGATATTTTTGAATTGCCAGCTCTATACAAATTAAGAGAGTCTGTAATTAGCACTTGAAACACTCTTTAAACTTCCAGAGTTATTCAGTAGCCCAGAGGAATCCCATGCATTACTCAGAACAGAGGGAAGAAGGTTCATCTGTAAAATTGCTTATCCTGCTGATCCCGACTGTGCGTCCCAGGCTATATCGGAGACATATTTATAGCACAGTAATGCAATTAGCCACGGAACAGGTGAAAATAAACTATGTTGCTTGCTACATTAGAAGGATCATATTCAGTAATTTACAGAACTTCAAAGAGCCTCAGTGCAAGGTATATTCCCCCCTTCACAGAAGAAAGCACACACTTCAGCATTTCACCCAGGCATCCCATCCTGTAAACATTTGCGACAAGAGAAGTGTGTGCTACAGTGAGAAATCTCATGGAAGTCACTGAATTAATTTTCATAGTGGCAATTTGCCCAGTACTGTTCCAAGGGTCAGGCCCTGTTTGTATTTTGCTACATACAGTTAAAAGAACCATATCTACCATAAGTTCGACAAACTATTCTAACGTATTCCTTCCTGTACGTGCAGAAAACCTTTTTAGTAACTACTATGCAAATGTCACCTGATTGTTACATTCTCTTCAACCTTCTTAAAGTTTTCCTGCTTTTACTATACGTGAAAATAATAAATACATATGATATACCAGTTATTAAGCCATCAAAAAAGTATGTGTCATTCCAGAAAGGACAGGAGACACTTGAGGTTTAGAAGTAAAGAGCTGGTCATTAAGGCAAGTGTCCTGCTTGGTAAAAAGCTTCAGCTGCTCCACGTTTCCTGTGGAACTGCAACTTTGGTGGGATGTTCCTGCATATTGTGAGACTGCTTCACATCTGAAACAACAGCAGCAACTCAAGGTTATTATTCCAGGTAAGGCTCTTCAGGAACACAAGAATAAGCTGAAAAGGATGACACAGAGTAAATCCAAGATGGGATGGACAATAAGGAATAAATCCATCGCCCAGGACATTGTCTAGCATCCGCACAAACAGAACCACCTCTGGGTTTTCAGTAATGTAGGCAAAACCGCATTCTGGCTATTCCGTCCTTACTGTTGGCATCAGGAAAGCTCAGTTTGTACATCAGTTTGTTTGGGGGGGAAACAAGAATAGGCCAAAACCATCAAAGATGTTTTGCAAAAGGGGCTCTCCACATTGCTGGTCAACTAGATCTCTCTCAGTGGAGGGTGATGGGACCCCTTCTAGAGGGGCTTCATCCTACAATGATGATGGAAGGCTGGGCTTCCTCTGGGCCCAACACAGCCGCCCGTCCGGTCCATCCCACGTACGCCGTGATACATAGGTCCTCAAGCCATCCTTCTCCTCTGCCTCCCTCCACCACCCTGGTCACACAGGGCCCTTCCCACAGCCCACCCCCTTCCCGCAGCCGCTTCCTTGTCCCACCCTCATCAGAGGACCCCATTTCCCCACAAATGAGAGAAGCAACTCCATGGGAAGTGGAGATTGTGGTGCTTTAGAAAGCTTCGCACATGAAGGAAAATGCCGCGCCCACATCACAAACAGTGGGTTTCAGAGGTGCTCTGACGGGGTCTCTGCCCTCACACACATAAAAATACTGTCCAACACCTGCCAGTTTTGCATGTTGGCCACCAAGGATTCTATGCCATAACAAACCACCTCAATGAAAGTGCATGCTTTTGCATGATGTGGAATGGACAGAGATTCTTCGTGAACCCAAAGGAGCTGAACACTTCTGGCTACAGAATTCCTTTTGTTACAGGTAACTGCCTTTAAAAATCTCTTACTTCTCATACAGACAAAAAAAAAAAAAAAAACCTAGGGAATTACAACCAGGAAATGCTGAACAGTTAAAGCCAAATGCTGTGCCTGTAAAAGTCTACCTCTGCAAGGTGGCAGCTTCTTTGGTCCTTTGGTTTGCCTGGGACTCTGTGATAGTGTTCTCAAGTTGAGCTTTGTTTAAGTCACTGCTCCTTGAGACTGCCACCAACTGAAGTAATTGCTCTTTTAGTTTTGCATTTTTAACCCTTTTGTTCAGTTACATGGCACAATACTGAGACTAACAAGTATTACTGAGAGTAACAAACACTAATGTTACAGGATGTAAGACAAAAGCAATAAACTTACGTATTTATTGCTGAGGTGTGAAGAGTTGCCGAGTTTTACTCTTCCCCTGAGATGAGTGCTCTCCTAAGAAACAGAAAATATATTTGCATCAGTTAAACATGCAAAGACAAAAGGAAAAATTAATCTAGCAGGAACACATCACTGACCACTGTACAAACTAGCCAGTCTCCTTGTCAGATTTACTTAACCAGCAAAAACTGTCCACACAATAGATTTTTATCACTCTCTCTGTGTTTTACAGCTTATTTACCCTACGATTTGCTCTCAAATGGTGGGTTACTACCACAAAGTATTTCCAAGGCAGTTCTCAAGGAGTTGGAACAGGCATAAGACTTCAATTAATTTGTAACTATTATTAGAACATTAAATTATAAACATATACAACTATAAAATTAATTGTTGCTGATATCGCTGACAGCAGCTCAATTCCTCCGAAGCAGGAAAATGAACATCTAACCACTTCAGTCAGGGATTACAGACAGCTCTCACTCCTCCTTCCCTGGAGAAGCGGAGCGGCTGTCAGCGGTTACAGGCAGACAAATAAGCCTCCAGATGAGGATGTGTTTTCAGTTGTCCCATTTCCAAATGCGTGTCCCAGGAACGGCAGCAGGATTTCTTTGTGTCAGAGATTCGTACATGGGGATCAACGGGGAGTGGCATCCCCAGACTGGACAGAGCCCCATGTAAACAGGGATGAGGGTGGGGAAACCCAGCTGCATCCAGGAACCTCCTTTCTGCCTCTCTGCTCACCTGTGGGAGAGAATTTAATGCCTGACCCATACATGAAAGGCAGGAAAGTGAAGAGATGTATTACATTCTAGTAAAAGTGAGTATGTATTAAAAAGCTTGCATATGATCTGTAGCCTGGGGTTGAATATTGTAATACAAATTACGCTTATAACAAATTCACTGATTAGGCATTTAAATAATTAGCAGTCAAATTAAATAGTTGCACTTCTGATGAAAAGAGAAAAGATTGTCAGTGTGTTTCAGACAGCTTTTCTTGGCAGTAAAAAGGGCTCTTTAATTTAGTGCAGCTTTTCCGAGATCAGTAGAAAACTTGGTATCTAATGGGTTTCAATGAGAAACACTGAAAATTGTTCAACAGCAATGCACTGGAATGCTGTTCGCTTCCCAAATGCTCAATTTTGGATAAAATTATTTCAAAATCATTATAAGAGGTTGCTAAGTTTGAGCTTCAGAAGTTCTGATGATGTTAAATTTCAGTTAGAAAGGCCTTCAGCAAATACTTCAATAATTCATAGTATAGTTTTTTAAAGAAAAGAAAAACACAAGTTTCTGCTAGAAAAAAAAATGAAACCGTTAAAAAAGGTTTTTACATTTTTGGTAGGTGAAAAGTTTGAAAAGATAAAAATCTTGGCTTGAAAATCTAAGATAAAGTGAACCAGTTCAAATATTGTAGTGTTGTAGCAACAGAGGAAGGAGATTTTAAAGAATTCTCATTTATTTTTAAATTTATTTTTATTTATTCCTCCCTTTATGATTTCTTCCTTCTGCATATTTTTTACTTTCCTCATTCAATATACCGAAACAGAAGATTCAACAGGGTGTGAAAGGGAGAAATCAGCAAGATTGTTTAAAAAAGAAGGTGTAGGAGAAATTAAGAAATATAGTACCACGGAGAAGAAAACATTCAACAGTTGTAATAAACATCAGTACTCTGTAGTGAGTTCCACTCTCAGCTGGTTGCTCTGCCTACGCCAGAAAGTAGGCAGGCTGAGGTGGAAGACTGATACTTTGCACCACAGGAAAATAACAGGTCTAAGGGGGGGCTCCGGAGCCAGCGTAGCTCCCTGGATGACTCCCCACGGCCACCCGTGGGCTCGGGCTCCGGGCGTGCAGCGGGCGAGGCGGCGCGGGTGGCAGGTGGGAACGGGAGCGGGCAGTCTGCCGCCTGGCAGACCCCGAGGCCGCAGCACACGGGCTCTCACGTGCCCTGCCCAGATTCCCTGGTGCCAGATGCGTTTAGCCCTGGAAACGGTGAACTGCCACAAACTACTGCTGGGGTCAACGTCCCCCCGGCAAGATCAGCGATCGCCCGGTGAGGGTTTGATGCAGACGGGGGTGCTCTGAGTTGCTTGGCCACTGCGCTCCCAAGAGGGCAGGAGCCTGCAAGAACGCTGAGACAAAACTCAAGTTATCATTACTCCATGGCTGCAAACACGTACGCAGCTATTTGCAGTCCAGGGTCTATAATCGTTAGTGCTGACTAACAACTCGGCCATGAAGAGAAAATTGTTACATACTGAGAAGAAATGGTCACACAGATGTTCCCTGTTCAAGAGTAACAAGGGTAACACACGGTTTCAGATACAGGGCTGCAGCACGCATTGAGACTGCAGAGAGAGGTGCCTAGAACAGTTTTGGAGTCTAGTGGCTCAGCAGTTTGATGTGCTAAATATCCAGCTGCAACACCAAGAGCAAATTAAGAAGAACGTTCAGGTTAGTTGCAAGCGGGAAGACATTTTTACTGATCCCAAAATAGCTTTAACTGACAGAAATAAATTCCACCAAACTCGCTCCCAAACCATCACCCACTAAAAATGATGGATTAGACCTCGCTTCCCATAAGGGAAATGAAAACCAAATACTTGTGTTTAGTATTTTGTTAGAACAGATGATATTTTAATCAACTGAAGAAATTATTTCACGTCAAGCTGTTTGCCTATGGAGAAAATACGCAGTGCAGCAGCGGTGCTCCACCCGTCTAGATAGATTACCTGCATGCTTTGAAGGCTGTCATCAAGAGAGAAACAGTATAGCTACGCAAAATATAGCAACGAGAACAAAACTGCTGGACAACATCAGTGAAAAATTGGCTTTTGTTGATTCTGGATTATGCATTTAGGGGAGGATGACAGACAAACTCTAGTGCTGTACACTAGGAGATGGAAGGTATCAAGAGAGACTTGAACCATCAGCTTCTCATGATATAGCTATACAGTATCTTTCATAAATGTATCAGTTGATCCAATCTGATAGGTACTATGGCAATAATTTTCTGGTAATGAGTTGAAAATTCACTGCATGTTTGTCTACTTTGATAAGTGAATGAGTGAACGGCAGAAAGAGGGAGGTGAAGGCAACTGGAAGAAAGTATCTGGTGCGGTTAACAAAGCACTGTCAGCTGCACAGCTGCAGGTGCAACGTGACCCCCTTTACCTGCGGTCCTGCCTTGTGACACCTCTCCTGATGGAGGAGGAGTTGTGGACTCTGATAGATTGGCAGAGGGCAGCGAGAAGCCAACCTCATATACATCACGCACTTCTACAAAAACTGAAAGAAACGATGCACAGTTTGAGAAAGAGGCCTTAGGCAGAATATTTGGAAAATTAAATCAGATTGATACCGACATGGAAGTTTTAGCTGACAAGCAAACCCTTCCATTAAACCTTTTATTCTCCCTCTCACCCTCCAATGTTGCACCTGTTTGTTGATTTTTTTCTAAAATTGGATCGTAAACACAAAGACATAGGAACCATGAAGCCTCCAAACATTACTTCAGACATATATCCAGGCAGATCACATAATACATACAGATATACTATATATCTGTCATATAATACAGACAGATCTGTAGTTAAACTAACATATTGCCACAGGAGGCTGCAGGTGCCACAGGGGATAAGACAAACTCATGGAAGTAAAAGCCGTTGAGAACTATGAAGCACCAAAGATACAACCTCTGATTCAGGACGTTTTCAAGCCACAGACTGCTGGAAGGCTGCGGCGAAGGACACATCACCGGACTCCTTCCTTATTTGTTATTCTTCCCTTCCTATCTCATGCTAGCCACCCTCAGTGACAGGATTTGGGGCTACATAGATCCAGGACCTGAGCAGGTTCAGATCACAGCTTCTTAGCCAGTCTGCCATAGGCACAGCATCCTGTGTGGCACCCCTCAAACACTTCTGCTGGAGCCCCGCTCGCAGATTCACCCACGTGAATTAGCAGTCTAGGCACCGGGCCCAAACCAGTGCACACTGCATACGTCCTCCTCTAAAAAGCAGTCATGCTTAAAAAGGATGAGAAGGGAGACGTAATAGGAAGAATTTTGTATTCATAACCCCTGAATCTTCAACATATTTAAGTGAATGGGAAGTAGACTGAATACACAGATACTGAAGGCTCTGCAAAGTTAGATGTTTAACCTTGAAAGTAACAGTACTTCAGTGAAAATGCAAGGTTTTCTTCCTAATTAAAATTTCACTTGTGCAGTATTTGATTTGGTTTTTCACTCTCAAATGTACTAGTTTCTGACTATTAATGTTGCATCCTGATGCCAGTATATGTGAATAAGTAATGGGTACATGATCAGCTCAAATTACAGATTCTATAAAAATCAATTTTGAAACTCTGAAAAAACCATTTCTTCGTCTAACCTTTGTGGAAGATTATTCCATTAATCTCACTGTAATTTCCTCCCCTCTCCCTCCATTTGATTCAGAACCTGAATGTATTATTCAGAATACACACACACTACAGAACATAATGATACAAAAGAGAGTTAACAGGTCATCTCACTATGAATACAGAAAGTCTTTGACCTGGGCAAAACCCTCTTTGACATTATTGGGAAAGCTGGAAGGATATAAAAAATAGTCTTTGACATAAAAAATAGATCGTACCACATCTCAGACTACACTGTCTGTAAGAAAAAATGAGTTGCACTGTTACTTCACTGTAATATCTGCTGCTGAGAAATTGCTGAGAAGTGACAATCTGGTCTGGAGCAAAGAATTAAGGCAAGTTTTTCACAAAAGATGACTGCAGAGACCCATGTTTTCTATAAAAGTATAAAACTATCTCTGCAGGCACAGGAATATAAATGTCTGGTTTCACCCTGCTGAACCAATGGAAAGAGGGGTGCATTACAGATGCTGGAGAACAGCACTGAGTGGGACCCAGCACCTGGATGCCCTGGCTGGCTGTGGTGTGGGTCAGTGGGTCCAGCACCTGCGACGTGCTGCAGTGCTCCCCTGCCACACACTTCACCCACACCCCTGAACAGTTTGTTCCTCGCCACTGTCGGCAGGACAGAAGGATCTGCACAATTCGCCACGGCAGCGATAGCGCGTATGGAAACGTTCAGGTAAAGGATAGGAAGGCAGTTGCTGCTGAATGGTTAGCAAAGGGTGGGAGGTGGCTCCCTGACGGAGGAACACCTCAGGAAGCTGCAGGCTGGAAAGTTAGCAAGTGCTCCACAGATGAAAACATCACCTGACCCTCAGCAGTCTCTGGCTGTAAGACTGCTTTAAAAACCCTTGCAATAGGCACAGCTCACAAATGGAATTAGAAATATAGAAGGAAGCATACGCAATTTAATGGTTTTGGCTACAGTTTTGCCTGAAAGTCTCAGCTGGAAGTGTAGGCAGACAGATCTTTGTGGGGCAAGTAAACACAAACAAAATCCAGCCGTGAGCTACAAAAAGCGGAGAAAGTTTATTCTTCAGTTTCTGTGAAGAAAGAAAACAACTTCAGGCCATTATACAATACAAGGTTAAAAAAATTAAAAATAGGGCATCAGAAAATGAAAAAGAGAAGAAAAGGGAAGCAGGTACTTCATCTATCTCTCTCGTGAGGGGACCCTTTTCTATGAAGCAGCTTCTAGGTTTTCTACCTGCAGGGGGGAAAAAATAAGACACTGAAAGAACAGCTCAAAATTGGAAAAAGAAATAATCAATATCATATCTTCACATGAGTAGGAACACCCGCTCTTACCGCTTCTAAGTACGCGGCATGCCAGCAGACTGCTCTTCTCTGACCTGTGTTGTTTATCTTGCAAGTGAGAGGAGAAGGGAAGGGAATTTTCAGTGACAGAGTGCCTCACCTAGAGACCCAGCTTCTTCACTTGCTCCAAGAGGCATCCACCTGGATCCTAGACAAAATGAGAGAGAGATGAGACTACCAATGCATGTTGAGAAACAGCACAGCCTGCTATGGAACCATGCCCCCTGGCAGGGGTCATTTTCTCTGGGTTGGGCCCCTAATGAGATAAAACCCAAAGATTTCTTACCTCCTTATATGCCATGGTTCATGCTCAGATGTGCTCAGTATAATAGAAACCAAGAAGGAATAATCCTCTGAATCCTCTGCCCCAGCTCCAGATTTGTCCCATTGTGTCACAGCCACATCTATGGTCTGATGTGTGAGGCAGAACAATTAAACAGCCTCAGCATTTGGAGATTCATGGAAAGTGGTGAAGAAGGTGTTGTCGTTCAATGACATCATTTCAGGAGATCACAGGATTTTCAAGCTCCAAACCCTAGCACCGCGGTGGGCTGTCTTGTCAGGTGCCGAACTTCATGTATATTCTAATGACCGAGACAAGATTTTGTGCTGAATAAGAACACAGGGGTTTTTTTTATTTGTTCTGGGATGATTTTGGTGCTTGGTCACTATGTATAGTACAGTCACCAGCCTCTGATGCTGAAGGCTAGGAATCCTCAAAGCCTTTACAGAGAAAGCTTTGGAAATTCAGGTAGTTCAGAGGAACGCCGCAGTGATCTCAAAAGTGACTGAAGCTATGGGGTCCAATTAATCTATGCCATGAAATCCCGTGTCTTCAAGGTAGGTAGCTCATCTTGTGCAAGGGACACATCCAAGAAATGTTATCAAAATCTACAGGCAGGAGGTACATCCAGTTGAAGCAGCAGGTAACGGCTCTAAGGCTCTTATTACTGTTAGCCAACAGCAGCTTTTGGAAGAGATGTGGAGCATATGGGGAATGCTGGTTGTTCTACATCCTCGGTTTGTACTATTTTGTACTGCACTGCCATCTGAGAGCGCCTCTAGGTATTGACTGATCCATTTCTCCAACGTGATTACAGTAAATTAAGGGTGTTTCACATGTGACAGGTCAGGTGTCTCCCCAAGTATCCATGTTTGCCTGGTACATTTTCCCAGCTTTGTTTAGTAGCAACACTTGAATTTTCATTCGTGTCCACAGTGGGTATCTTGGGAAGCCCTAATGCAGACGTGTATCATGGTATCATGGACCTTCTGTTCCAGGTGCCTCACCAAAATCTGAGCCACATCACCTTTGACATATTTAATATCCTTCCAGTAAATTTAATGCAGAACAGACAATACCCCTACAAGCTGCGTAGGTCACATCCTACCCTATCATCTCAAAAGAGCACACACAGATTAGAAACATGCCCTAATGATTCAGTTTATGCTTATGTGCCAGGATTACACCTAACAACTCTGAAATATTATGTCACCTGCACATTCCTGTGAGACTTTATATTGAATAGCCAACTGGTGTGCTGCTACTATAAAGGCCTTTCATACATTTCACCTGCTCTAGAATGGGTAGTCCAGGCAAGGGCCATAAAAAAAAATTGTCAAGTCATTACTCAGGTATCAGTATTTCCATCACACATCATTCATTTGTATGGATTAGCCTTACCCCAACTTCTACTCCTCAACCTTTCTGTTACTGAGGAATTTCCATCCCTCAACATTTTTCATGAGTCCTAAAAGGTGATCAATACCTTTGCTGGTTTTCAGTGAAATACACAAGAACTCTTACAGAAAAAATTAGACTGTTTTCAAGATAGGCAATACTTTATCATTAACATCATGGATGATGGTATTGATCTCTTAGTCAACAAGTAAAACTCTCCATCTTACATTCTCAGGAAACATATCTACCACTGAGAAGCCAAACATGTAGTCCTGTGGGCTACATTGAACCCCAAGTATGAAATATTTTTGCCAGTGGGTTTTCTAGAGCTCTGTACTGTAGAAGACCATTTATTCTCCACAGGAAGAACTACCCTAAATTTTCCCGTATAGTCAACATGGATTGGCTGCAGTAAGTCCTGCATTTGCACATTAGTGTAAAACTTTTGAGATGATTCAGAACACTAAGCTTTTTTTATCCAAGCTGAGTTTTCACATAAGATGCAAGTACAGGCACTTATCTTGCATCAGGTGTTGCAGTTCACTGGCAAATGTGTATGAAAAATTCAAGGTGTTTAGTTTTATGTGTTTGTTTTTTTACTTTACATCCATTCTCAACCAGTTGTGCCTTAGAGCTCATACCATCATCAACTCCATCTTTCTAAGAAGAATTTTAAAAAATGAGAATATTAAAGCTCTGTTTTACCTAGTGTCCCTGATGATACTGCTCCATTAAAACCCATTACTTTAGTCCAGGCTTAATTGAACACTGTTATTTTCCTTTATTCTTTCACAGTAATTGCAGGTATTTGAAATAATATCATTGGTGAAATTTAATTCAGCTATGCTTCTGAAAAAGGAGTATTTATTTTTTCTTTCAATTTATAGTCAGAACCTAACTTTAGAAGTCCTGAAATAGGATTCTTTAGTAGTCAATGGACCTCCACGGGTCAGCTCATTCCAGTTCAAGATACATGTCTAAGGCAGATGGGATAAATATCCCCCTGGACACATACGTCTCTTTCAGCCGACTATGTGCAGTCTGTTTAGCTTTTAGATAGATAAAATAAGGCAAGATTAAACTCATCATAACCTTTGGACAAGATATATCATGCACAACACTGACAATGGGTTTTCTAGGTTGCCTGCTCAAGCAGTTTGTAGGTCATAACCTACTTTGGTTTGTATCTATGTTTTTTTACACATTTTAAACACAATGATACAATCTCAAAATCTTCTGTTTGGAATAAAAAGTAAAAATTAAAAAACCCCCCACCAATGTATACTTATAATAAAGCTTAATTTGAATACATGTCAAAGAAGAACTTTGTTGTATATACGCTTGATCTTAGGCAGCTAAGCAGCCTATTGATAGTGAGAGGATGATATAAGTCTATCTCTAAAGTTAAGGCTGCTCTTAGCTTTCTAGTTTTAGTCAAAACCTTTCATAGTTTTGTTGGCATGTACAATCGGAGGTAGCTACAACACACACTTTCTAAATAGCTGGATAATTAATTTGTCTTTTAATTGAGCTGGATTTTATGTGTCTAAGGAGGAAGAAGAAGACGACATGTAAAGAAGTTTTACACAGTGTGATTGTTTTCAGTAGTTGTAAGAGGGACCACAAGTTGGCCATTTCTTAAGTTTCTATCTGTTCTGTAAGAAACACTTGCCTTTATGCCCAAGCTTTTAATGAAGCAAGTAAATCTTATTCAAATGGGCAGGCATCCTAACATATTTGAAAATACCTGTACGAGTGACAAATATTCCTGTAAGAAAACAGGCCCTTCTCTCAGACTGCTTTTAATTTAAGTAGTAAAGTGTCTCTAAAAACCTGGGGAAAAACAGGACTTCCATTTCTGTGAAAACATGCTTAATTTTGAAACATATACAGATGTAAGAATTCAAGAGAAAATGGTAGCTAGTTTAAATATGAATTGTATTAATGAGAAGAGGGCAAGAATCTTGTCTTCTAAGTGGTTATGACTCATACCTTCCAATTATAGCATGCATACATCACACTTCAGTAAAAAAAAATAATATTGAGCATCCTCTGGGTGGAAGATACTCGGATACTTGGTGAACCAGTAGCTGATTAACAGGCACCAAACCTCATCTTGTGAATAAAAACAGTGAGCCTGAGTCTTTTCTCATTTACCTTACTGTAAAAACACATATAATTCTGCTGCTGCCAATGGAGTTACTTTACTGTTGAAAGCAGTATGAGGGCAGAATCAATCAAAAAAGGTCTATGAATTCCAGTTTCTGACTTAATTCAGCTTTCAAAAAAACTACTATGATTTTAAATGAAAACATAGACACAACTCCATGCTTCTTAAAAGAAGGCTAAAGTCCATTCCCAAAGACATATACTAAAAATAAAAATAAGTAATTCCCAAATCACAAATCTCTGAAGTGCAGTCACTTAAGTGCCAAAGCACAATTGCTTAAGTGCCAAACCATAGTTTGCGTTTGCTCAGCAGCAGTGGGGCAGACTGATGCATACTGCAATGGAGCAGGGCCTTCTCCTCCCCTTCTAGCCTCTTGGCGTGCCGCTTTGTGTCGGCGAGGCTGCGGGGACCTTGCACAATCATGGTTTGTTGCAAGGGCTGCCAGAGCTGCTCTGTGGGTCTTTTGGATTGCACAAAAGGTTCTAGGAGTTGCAGAGAAGGCTGGAGAGTGCAAACTGTGCCTTTCCAGCAAGTAGAGGGTAGTTTAGATCAAGTGCTGTTTTTCAGAGGACTTCCTGAGAATTTAGTGGAAAGGGGGGAGCAGCTATCAGGTAACCTCTGAAATGTCAGCAGGGGAAACAGGTGGCCAAAAATCTTAAAAAAAAGAGGGTTATACCTAAAAAAGCATAAAGTAGGAGTCTGTTTTTCCTGGAGAACTTCTGCAGATGAGGCAAGAGCAAAGGTGGGACCTACACAGCTGAGGAAGCAAACTACAATGGGTGAAGGGGGGAAGTTTCACCATGAGAGGCTTCATTTTTTTGTTTGTTGAACAGATGGGAAGCAGATTAGTCAGAATTTTGTTCTGCCTCAGTCTTATTCTGTACTACTCTATTTCTTGCAGAACCTACAACTGCATCCATCTTTTCACTTACACTGATGAGATTTTGCTTTCTTTTGTGCATGTTATCTATAACCTCAGTTCCTTTAGGTTTTATTACCACATATTTTGTGTAAAATTCAATCAGTGAAGTGCAGGAACTTGCAATGAGAGTAGGATTTTGAATGCAGAGGGAGGCTGGGTGCAGGGCTGACTGTATAGTGCCAACACCAACGCCAGCAGAGCCCTGTTTACATACAGCACTGACTCCCAAACCTTTTGGCCCCTGGGATGTTACCAGTGCTCAAACTTCCTTACATAGTCAGATCTAGCAGATCAATATCATGATCACGGTTACTCCTGAACATGTCTAGCTGTAGATCACTTACCATCAGTGATTTTAAAAAATTACCCTTCCCAAACCAGTCATACATCTCACTCCCAAATACCGATACCACACACAGTGCAGCTGCACTGCAGCTCTACAGGCTCCCAATCTGGGGATTTGTACTGTAGAGGAATTGTTTGCAGTGACTTTGACCTGACAGGAACTGAAGATGGTTTTGCTATTGGAAATGACATCCCAAAGCTGCACTTCTCTGGGCTCAGAGAGAAAGACAGTGAGGCCCAGGGTCTGAAATACAGAAGTCTCAAGTATTTATAACTGCAACTGGGGACAGTAAGAGCTGTGATTTAAACATACTGAAATGATGTGTAATGCGAAATGGTCTGAGAAAGCATGCCCTAGGCACTCACTCTCTTCTCCCAAGTAACAGGCGATAAGACAAGAGGAAACGGCCTCAAGTTGCACCAGGGCAGGTTTAGATTGGATCTTACGAAAAATTTCGTCACTGAAAGGGTTATGAAGCACTGGAACAGGCTGCCCAGAGAAGTGGTTGAGTCACTATTTCTAGAGGTATTTAAAAGACATGCAGATGTGATGCTTAGGGACCTGGTTTAGTGGTAGAGCTGTTAGGTTAATGGTTGGACCTGATGATCTTAAAAGTCTTTTCCAACCTAAACAATTCTATGATTCTATGATACACATAGAACAAACACTCACCAGTCTCAGGAGAAGTTGTCTTCACAGAAAGAAGTTTGACTCCTTCTTTATCTGACTGGGCCCTGTTGAATTCAGAAAACATTTAAGCAGTCAGCCAGTGTGCATGTTGGTCAGCCAAACAAACTCCAAGATTATGATTCAGACAAGGCAGCACCTATGCCAGTCTACACTGGCAGCTTCAAATGGGCTTTGCATGGGATCATGTGTAAGTCTTGGTGGTGGAAAACACCATATACCAATACATCTGAAAACGCTTTTCTCTTAAAATATGTAATAAATCAAGTTGCACACTCCAAGTTCAGTCTAGTGCTCCACAGAAGTAGTACATCCCTGGGAAAAGAGGGAGTAATCTTTTTTCTCTGTCAATACAAGGCTTTTAGCCATGTTGTATTGCAAGCAGGACCACTTCAAATGTCCAGGGAGTCAGGGCTAGCAAGTAAATCAGCAGCCCAAATGCTGCTTTTGGCCATGCAAAACATAGAGGCCACAGCCAGACTCAGTGGTCTCTAGCACACATCTTCTAATGGATCTTTCTCAGTTTTACTCTCCTCAAACTCCTTATACCAATACTGTTTTATCCAAGCCTCTGCAAATGGCCTAGTGGAGAGAAGATGGGACAGAGAAACATGAAATAATAGGGGACACAATAAAAAGAAGGAGAAAAATAATATAGAATAGAAAACATTAAAAAGAGAGAAAACATGAAAAAAGAAGGAGGATGGGGAAGGATAGGGGGAAAAAACCCCATCAGTGGGGCAACAATTGAATAAAAGAGAAAAAAGACTGTGTCAATGGGCCCTGTGGCACAGCATAAGCTGTTTGTCCATTTCAAAAGGATCCCCTGCAAAACAGCTGAGAGCCATCACATTTCTGTCCAGGCTAGAACAGCTACTTATCATGCATATAGGTGTATAATAACTGCAAGTGCATCACTTTCAACATGACATCTCTCTTTGGGGTGGCAACTGCTTATTATGTTTAAACAGAGAAAGATCAGAGAAAATCTCATGCAGGAGCTGCTGCATTCACAAGTGCCCCATGATAGATCTCGAAGCAATGAAAAGACAGGATTCAACCTACTGTTCAGTGCCATTTTCTTGTCTCTCTGGAAGAAGGAACAAAGTTAGTATCATTTTGACTGTTGGAACTCATTTAAGTAAACATTTAGACATAGCAATTGCAGATGCTAGCAGAAGGTGTAGCGGTGATCTTGCAGTACTGCACTAAGTACATTAACATAATCAACCAGCTTGAATGGTAATTGCTACTTTCCTAGTTCATCTTCCCGAAAGACAACCATGTCATCTGTGAAAGTGAACTGATATTACTCGAATTGACACTTCTGGAAACTAAGGGAAATGATATGTGACTTGTGCAAGAGCACGACAGAAGCATGTTTTTCCCTGCAGCTCCCAAATCCCCGGGTAGCTGGCAGAAGAGGTGAGCATGCAACAGTTCTCGAGTACGTAACAACTGAACTAAAAGATACAGGGTGAGGGGAGTGAGGGAACAAGCTGCCAGACTGTACGCTCTGGGGGGTTTACCCTGGCACAACATCTGAGAACAGAGCCTGTCATCCCCGTTGATGAGGACAGGCTTCTCCCCAAAATGAATCATATACCAAATGTATTTTATTCTTATGTGCACGTGTGGGCAGATGGATGGGGCCAGGGGGTTACATCCGAGACATGAAGCCAACGCCATCCCCACGGCCCTGGGCACAGGGCTCTCTGTCCACGGGGGGAAGCACACTGGATAGGCCTGGGAAAATCCTACAGGAAGCACCACAGATCTCTTCCTACTCTAGCTTCCAAGTGAATTTGCTAGTACAATGCCTGTTAGCATTTGCACATGGAGGAGGCTGGTGAGGAAATATTCTTCACCTCATATCTCTATCTTCTGACACTGAATATTCAGTAATTTCCTAAGCAAGGATCACACCTTCCTCTGTTTATCTGGGACTGGTTTTCCATGTCACTGGCTAAATTGGTTGTGACACACTGCCTTGGTCTACAGCTTCAATACCCTTCTGTGATTTTATATTTCCAAGGCCCAGTGATTTCATGGTTGAAGCTCTGCACAGGTCTCCTAACTCATGCCAGCTCACAGGAAGAGAAAAAGCAGAGTCTGGATTCAGATCTGGGTTTTCACTTAATGGGGAATTACACTCGCCTGTAGCCCACTCAGTCAACTCTTTGAAATGTTTGGCAAATGGAATTTAATGGAATTACACCCCGTTATCTTAAGTATTTCATGGGCAGCAGTGAAACAGATACTGGCTTTAGCTGCTCCGCCAAAATGACTGTTTCTGAAAATACTGTTTGCTCAGGGGTTTTGCTCCTATGTACATTATACTGTAAATGGAAAATTTTACGTATATATAATGTATGTGTGTGTGTGTATATGCATGGATGGATATTACAGGTATTTCCTAAAAGAAAGCATTGATATTTCTTTGCCTGTATCTAGAACAGAGATAAAATAAATATAGTGATTTTGCTAAACAGTATCTCCAAACTTAGTTTTCACTGTCTTTTTCTACCTGATTGACTGTGTTAGCACAGCTGTTTGTTAGCTCTTTGTAGCTACAAAAGCGTGAACAAAAAGCTTTACAGCATTATATATTCTCCAAAAATCAGACATTTTTGCTCCCTCTGCTCTTCCTACTGATTTTGAAAATGAAGTGTTACTTTCCTACTTTAGGCAAAATACTTCGAAATACAAGAAGCGTTTCTATCAGACTACTGCACCATCTATGGTTAAGGTAATCTAAAAAGACTCCAAAGATCTTTTAATAGTAAGAAGCACATTGATCTTTTTCCCCCCTTAGAGAAAGAAAACCAAATACCTGGAGTTTTCTTCTGGCATATTCTGTACAAAGCCACCAGTGAGAAGACACAGAGGGTAATAACTATCAAGGTGATGACAATTGGCAAGATAACACCTGCAAAAGAGGGAGAGTGTAATTGTGCCTGCTGCCCCTGGCTTGCATTGCCTCCGTGTACAAGCACTCGCATGCACAAAGGCGAGAGGCATCTCCCGCCCCACTTCACCAAGCATCACCGATTTCTCTGGAGCAGGGGAACCTGCTGCTCCTGTTATTCCTACCGCGCCCACTGAGCCTCCCCTCTGTGGAGGGAGGATTTTGGCACCTTCCTTCCCCCACCCTTAGTCCTTCCCTGACACTTGCGCTGCCCTGTGGAGCTGGTTTCACCCATTTTTCTGTAGGAGAGTGAGGTTTTAGCACCTGCCCCACTGAGACCACCATAATCTCAATCAAAATATTCATGATTTACCCCCAGCGTTGATGGTCCCCAAAGGTTTTGCAAAACAGTCGTGTTTCAGAAATAAATTTTTGATACATGCAATTTATGTTTTCCACTTTTTTGAAAACAAGACTCATCTGAAATTCAGCAGCTGAAGCGATTATTTTTCTTTTAACGTTGTACACCCAGAAAGACACCAAGGAGTTACATAATTCAGTAACATTCCCCTCAGCACTTACAACCAGGGATAGAAAATACAAGATCTCCTTTTTAAACGAGGACATTTCTTTCCTTTTATTATTTCCCACCATCTGCCATTTCCTGACAGGTGTTTCCCAGCCAAGAAGCAAAAAGGAAAGAATTATGTAATGAAGACAAGCTTTCCCAGGGAAATATATAAGCCCAGCTTCTCCCCATTTATCTTTTTTCTGGCAGCCATCGACCACATACCAATTTAGCAGGCACTGTCTCGCCTGTTGGCCTAAGCCCTGTGTCGGGGGAGGCTGCGGCTGCATTCCCGCAGCCTTCCACAGCATCAGCCATCATGCCCATCCAATATTTAGAATTAGCATCTTCAACGGCTCTTGATGAAATTAATATTTAATATTCATATAGATGTGTGTGTGCATCTATGGAACTAGAGAGAGAACCTGGAGAGGAGTTTACAGTGGAAAAACATCAAACATATTTTGAACGTATTTTGCTAAGCCAGTATTTTGGGTAGGAAATAGCAGATCTGCAGCAACACTCTTGCCCTAGAGATGCATAATATTAAAATAAAAGATTAAGTAACATGCATCATGCAAATATCAGGTGCTTAAAGAGTCTGCAGAAAACTCACTCCTAGTCCTTCTCTCCCATGACAATATGAACAATATAGTCCTATAATATTCATAACAATATATTCATATGATATGTACTGGTAACAATATATGACCATATTTTCATATGTTTTCTTGTGTCTTCTCTCACAGGGAATGACTCAGTTAATTTTTTTTTTTTTTTCAGCTTTATCACTCTGAATCAGTCCTTGGGAATAATCGTGCTGCTCTCCAGTGAGAATGGTGTTAACTTGTTAAGCTCCAATTCTCTTTGAGTGGAGTTTTATAACAGGCAGTCAAACTGGGTTTGTAATAGGGTCTACGTCTGGTAAGGCTAGAAATAAAACCACCAGTTTTGTTTCTCTGCTACTCCAATCACTCATCAAAACCCAAACTGATCGACTGAAAATGAAAAGCTGGACAATAAAGTAGGAACACTCACTAGAATAGTGCGTATCACTCACTGGCACCTTCTTGTTTTCAGAATTGATTCCAGGATTGCTAAAATCTAGATTTGCAAAAGAAATATTGTCTTTCAGGTTAATATGTAGTTGTCAGAACTCCCCAAACAACTCCCCCTGAAAAACTACCCTCCCCAAACTACTTTTGTGTCCCCAGTTCTGGAGCCATTTGGTGCTCCACAGCTATAGTTCTCAATAATACCTGGATAACTCGGCAAGAGGGGTGTAAAAGTTTATCTAGTGTGGCCTAGAAGAGACACACAGTTTGCATGAGTCCAGTTTTCCCTAGAATCATCTGTTGTAAACTTACAGGTTATGAGCTACAAACTTTTTCACTTTTAGGAGGTTAAGGTTCAACATTAGAAAAGAACTCTTGACAAGCAAATAATCAAGCAAGAGAGTGAAAAGTAAACCTGCCTCCAAAAGAAGAGAGAGCAAAATAGTTCACTGCTAATAGTAGATGAAGAAGTCCAAAGAGGTGCAGTATTAGTAGCTAGCAATTTTCTTGAGAGTTGAGTGTTATAAAGGGGTGTGCGTGCTCTCTCTGCCACATCTGGGGATAGCAATGACTTTTGGTAGCCTCTGGGGCACTTTTTAGGGCAGGGTTTAAAGGAATGCATTTCTACCTTTAGGAATGCATTTCTACCTTTAGGTGCTAATCAGAATTTGAGTCAGGTATCAATAACCCAAAATATTTATTACCTTGTTGCACACAACCTGTGAATAAACAATCACTGAACTAAAAAAAAAAGCAAGCATTGGTGCTTCCCTAGTTACATTATACAGCACACAGGATTGCATTCCGTATTGGACAGAGCCTTGAGTAGACGTGTGCTTACTGCCACTGAAGCTGCCAACCAGCTGGACAAACGTAATGCAAGGTTGAGCATTTCTATTGCTCATTTAAATATCAAGCTCTCCAGCAAAGGTGCCTGGGGAAGGTGGTCTCTGAAGCAGGGGTCCTAGCAGAGAGTATAGCTCTGTGTATAAGTAGTAAGAACACGGTAGCAGCCACTGAGGTTTTGTTGCAGGCTCTGATCCATTGCTCAGGTACCCACTCATACCCCTGCACCTGTAGGGATGTACAGTTCCTCTTCCAAAGAACAGAAGAGGGATCAAATTGATGTGTAGAAGCTATGAAATCAATGGAGTCATTAAAACCAATTTCCTAGGGCCGTTCTGAGGGCTAGAATACAATTTTGTTCTGCTAAGTCTCTGAATGACATGTCCCTGTTTTTACAGAAACTACTGTAGAGGCAGTACTTTTAATTCCAGTTTGCTGAATTAGAATAACAAACGAGGTTTGTTTGATCCAAACATGTAGGACTCCCTCTTCCTTGCTGCACTGATTTTAAACTCAGGTCCAATACTGAGAAATGTTTTGCTGATTGTTTTTTCTCCACTATTCTCCTTTTGTCCATATTGTCATTCTCACAACATACAAATCTGTTCAGATATGTAAGACTACATTGTCTGCTGATGCAAGAAGAGCAAAGCGGAGAACAGCCAGGGGCCAGTTTCCCCACAGGTTTGATGGATATGCCAGTACATGGGATTTCCCTGGTAACTAGGAGCCGCATGGTCCTACTTAAAAATTTATGTGGATTAACTGGTAGTGCAAAGGGAAAGATTTGAGAGCGCTGTGTTTTCATTTTTGTTCTGCTGTTGTGTAGCTGTGTGAATTTTGGGCACACTGTTTAGATTCTTTGTCTCCTTCTTTTCCCACCCTTATGCCCCCCCCCATTCATTTGTCTGGCCAGAGACTGAAACCTCCTGGGTAAAAATGATCACTTATTATGTGCTTGTGTGGTGCCTAAACAGTACTGCCACAGCTGAGACATTCTGATGCTATAGTGTAGGAGACAATCATTGTCCGAGAGACAATCATTGTCCGAGACCCTTATCTCTGAAAAATCACTGTGTTTCTTTAAGGCAGTTCTCTCTCCCGTGGTGCCTGTCTGCTGAGGGGTGATAACATAAGGATGGAAACTGTGAACCATCATCAAGTAACTGAAATAATTCTTATGAATTCATAATTCCATGTGATTGCTTTAGATTTCCCAGGGAAATACTACTGCCCTTTTCGCTATCTTACCTGATATACTACATGATATACAGGGCAAGCAGGCAATTATCACAGCAATGAGTTATCCTGGATACTGACTGAAAATGTCAACAGAAACAAATTACACTGAAAAACATGAATGTGTATCCCTGCATTTGTGCAGCATCTCCTCAGGAGAAAAACTGAGGACTCAAATTCACTGGTTATTTTCCTTCTTCTCTGTTAGATGACCAAGAGGTGAGTAACGCAGGAAAGAAAAACCATAGGTTAGCATTTTAAGTACTTGAGTCCATCAGTAAGAAATACAACGGCTAAAAAGAAGCACTACTGAATGAATAAAATGGATTAAGGAATGAAAACTTTTAACTCAGTTACCCACTTAATTCGCTAACATTTCTCAGAAGCCAGCCTATCCTGTCTACTTTCTCTGGATCTGGAGAGTCAATCTGGAAGACGTTTTCCAGCTATTGAATGATCTGGGATCAGAACAACAATTAATTGGAGTAATACATCCATCATGGTAACAGGAGGGACAAGCTTTTGCTGGCAGCGGTAGCAAGAACTGCAGGGACTAGTACAGAAGAGACTGTTTCCTGATAAGCCCAGAGAAAGGAAAATAGGACAATACAGGTTCACTAGCACGGGAAGCTCTTGCCTTACTCTGGGACCTGCTGCTTCTAAACCACAGGACAAGGAATGAGAGCTACTGACAAGAAAAAGCTCCATGTCAAACACTCTGTATCAGTTTCCCATTGCAACATGCAATACACGAGGCCTGAAATTTTTGTGCTTCCCACCCTGTTTTCTTTGCAGTATCAGCTAGTCCAACACGGCATTTCAGCTGAAATCACAGCAAAGTTACTCATTGCTACAAGTTGAGCATCACTCCTCTGCTTCTCTGTACTACGCTTCAGGTTCTTTCTTCCCCCAGAGCCTCTTTTTTCCCTGAACATTTCCTTTCCTCGGGCTGCCCCCCTCCCACCTCACGCCAGCCCTTTTCAGCAGTGTGCACAGAGTAAACTCTTCTATTGCTCTTACTTGTCGATTCTGTTGTGGAGCTCACGTTAAGGCCTGCAATAAAACAGAAGGAACAGGTTTGTTAGCATTTAGTTTAGATGTCCAGAGGCTTCACATCATACAAACTTGCAATGTGCTCAGTAACCCCACAAGAAATGCTGCCCCAGAACTGACATGCTTACACTGTTCTCAAGCCCAGAAAGTCTGACCTGTGAAAGCCTGCAGACATCCCTTATAGATGGGAGCAAAATCCAGAGCCCAGCCTGTGCTAGGCTGTTATTCTGCTCAAGAGAAGAAAATCCTGAATTGATACATTCCTAAAAAATTCCTCCTGCCAAAACCAAATAAATGCCTGGGAGTGAAAAGCTGGCATTTAACTGACAAATGAGTGTTTTAATAAAGGAAACTCAAATGCCTAATTGAGACATATCTTCAAGTGTCACAAAACCCTTTAAAAATTAATCTTCATTAATTGTCTTGGTCCTTTCGGCTAGCAGACTGACGAGCAGCAGGAGTAAGAGGCATTGGTAATAAGGAAGAAATGGACCTTGCAGAGCACTGTGCACAATGCTTACCGGCCCGCTACTGTCAGCTTCCCCCAGCCACTTTACATGTTTCTGGTGCAGAACACTAAATTTTGTTAGCTTTTTGTTAGTATTCTGCTGCTTTTGTCCGTCTAGACTGTAGCAGGCTTGGAAATTAAAGCGGCTGTGAATACTTCACATTTGGAGGCTATCCACAGACAACCGTTGCTCCCACAGTGATTTTTATTACGTTGCATTAAATCCCTTCTGTGATCACTCTAAAGTCAGAGAGCCGGGCACCTAATTCATCCCTGTCTTTGAGAATATCCACCTGCGTGAACTGGCAGCAAAACATTTACCTGTTTGTACAAGACAGACTGTCTCTAGCCAGAGATGAGTTACTGGCACTCTGCCCACCTGGTGAGGCCTCTCACACTGGATTACTTGAGCTACCGTGGAAAAAAATCCCTCACGCACTATACCCTCAGCAGCCACTCATCATTTTGAGGTATAAATCACAGTGTTTGGTCACCTTCCTCTAGGCTGAGGGTGCCATAAAAGACCCCTCATTAGGTCTCTTCAGGTTTCACTGCTGCCACAGCACCTGTGGGGAATATGGTGTCCTGAGAGCTCCCTGCGAGGATGTGACCCGCGGAGGGAGCGGTGCGGAGGCGGCTGTGACTCCGGGCGGGCACTGAGCCTCTCCCCGGAGCGCCCGGCGTTGCAGTGCTCCTTCTCCAACTGGGGTCCCCAGGGAGTACAAATCCACTCTTAACACCATCGCTGCACCTTCTGTGCTGTGGACTGACGCTTTGCACAGAGACAGCTCCTCCCACCGGAGCTGTAACAGGAGTGAAGCGCATTATTCTACTGCTGTGAAGTTCTTTGAAAATCAGAATGGCTGGTCTTTTTCCTCCCCTCTACACCCAATTAAAAACACGGATCACTTGAGCCACTGGGGTGCAAATAATCACTTTTGCAAACAGTATATGTGACAGAGCTTTAACTGCACTTTAATCACAAACATGCATGAAAAACATGTTCAGGTTGAAAAGCCAAGTACTTAAAAGTCAGCAGTAAGAGCTCTTCTTGAACATACTAAATATTAGTAATGCTAAGTACTCTGAAGCTATACAGCTATCTCACCCTGGCTTCCTAGGATCCAGAGAAGACTTTTTCCCTAAGCTTTTTATCATCTCATCAAGCCATCTGCAAAAAGCAATGTCACCTTGCTCAGAGAGGATCTCTGTGATGATTCATTAGGCAATGGTTATAGCACGTTTGGGCAACATTAACAACAAGAGCCAAGGAAAAGCTTTTGGGAAGTTAATAACTCGCCTGTTAAAGGAGGTTTAGAATGACACACGGTATAGAATGCAGCAGAACACATACCTGGCATTAAGGAAACATCCAAATATGATATGATTGCTTGTTACCTGAATACTGCCTTTCCTTCAGCCTACAAGGAGTGGGATTCCATGGAAAAAATAACATGTGACCACACAGCAATGGTTGAACCAGCAAATTGCAAAGCCCAGTGTGTGCATATTCTTGGAGAAAGGCAGATGACCGTGTCAAGTCTTACAAATAGGTCACTTTTCTATGAAACTTCAAACCTTGTCCTCCAGGCCTGAGGAAAGTTGAGCTTCTTAAGAACCTCCCCCCCCCCCCCCCCCTCAAGATTATAACATAGTTACACAGTTTCCCTTCACTCCTGCAAACAAAGTGAACCATCTTGGCTCAAATTAGAGCAAATAAATAAATAAATACATAGAAAAAGCATGTTAAGCCCAACTCTGATATACAAGGTCTAAGTTTACCCCAAAGACTTAAGGTTTGTCAGAGTTGTGTACAGGTGACATTAGGCTCTGCGAACAAGGAGGGTGGGATGACCTGTGGTCCAGCACCTGCAGGCACAACCAAAGCCACGCTGCTGTCCTGGCCAGACCTCGCCACTCCAGTAAACACAGACAGCAGAAATGATGCCAGGCAGGAAACGTGACAGCAGCCCCCTGCCTTTCCTCCAAGGACTGTAGGAGCCTCCTGAGCCTCTGTTATTTTTTAAACGTTGCACACATCTACACACAATAAAACTACAAGCATCTTTCCCAAGGATTTCTCACTCAGATTCTGCTAGAGCATGAAAAATTGAATAGGAAAAATCTCATGGCTTTCTCTCTCCCCCCGTCTCCAGCACGCAAGCAAGGTGCCAGCTCACCCTCTGTTCAGAGACTGCTCAGCCCTGCCACACAAACAAAGCTGTGCTTATTGGAGCGGTTCAGCAGGTGCTTTCAGTTTGCATTTTCTAAATAACCATCCAGTGCCCTTTTTGGTGGTGGGGTCACATGCTGCTGTTCTGCAGAAAGAGAAGGACAGAAGGAAAGGCAGCATTTCGCCTGCTAACATAGTCACCGTAGTTGTTCTAGCTGCCTGTTCAGAGCTTACCACATCCTTTGGGGCTGCCAGTTAAGGGGCAGATGCTCTGCATAAATAATCTGGGAAGATTTCCAGATTCATCATGAAAAATGAGGTGTGCAACACTGGCTGTGCTGAGTCCTTGTTGTGCAGTAAGGAGGACAAGGATAAAAAATTTGGCACATGGTGGTGGCTTGATTTGAAAATACCAGCCTGAGTCAGTTCAGCACTGATTAGAAGCTTGACAGATGGAGAAAGAGACCAATAACTAACCTCTCCCCACTCTGTTCTCCAACAACTGCTACCCAAGCAGCCTGGATACCCTGTAGTTTGATGCTTCTGTTTTTGGAGGGAAGCCACGTGAAACTGTGTTCACTGGCAAAACAAATGAATAAATTTGGCTGATTACTCAGAGGGGATACCACAATATAAATCAAAGCAAAATTAAGAACTTTAAAAACCCCTCCTTGCCCTGACCATGCTATCGATCTATAATTGTGTTAACTGAGGCTTTGCTGTATTTTCCATCTCCCAGGCACTTTGATTTTTGTGTCTTTCTCTTTGTGAAGAAGCTGAAGATACGGTGGGTAATTTTCACCTAATATCACTATCCAGAGTTCCTACACAGTTTGTGTACAGAAAGAGTCAAAGCCTCCTTGTCTTACTCAGAAGAATTTTTCTTAGGGAGATGCCTCCTGTGAATCAAGTGAGTAGGATTTATAATTAGAGGAGTGCAATAAAGATATCAATAGATGCAGCAGGTTGATTCATCTGACAGTTTATTATAATAGATCATTTGATCTTACCACCCTGCTGGGTGAATTTAAGCTCATGCCTCTTTATGGATTTTTTTGTTGTTTAGGTCACAGAATAAAAAGCTACAATACTTGCACTTTCTCAGATTTATTTAGATTCTGACTGATCCATTAAATCTCCAATTTTTCTTTAATTAAACAAAATGAGAGAATTAAATATTATCAAGCAATCCTCTGTGGAGGTGGAGAAGGAGTAGGAGGTATATTCTACACGACAGCCAAAGTTAAAGAAGTGTATGTGTCAATGGCACGTATGCAGGTTGCTCTCTTTGCTAAAAACAGTCCCTGTTGCCCTTTCTAGCCTGGGTGAGCACTGCACAGCCCCTCCTCTGTGGCTGGTGGTTTCAATCTTCTTTAATACAGCAATACTGTTCTCAGATGTTTCACCAAGTTCTTTCCTAGGCTCCCCCACTCATTTCAGTCGCTCTCCAGCTCTCTGTGGCACTCCTCCCACACCCTGATCTTTTGATATGGCTGACTGGATAGCTCTCTTCAAAATGTGCTTTTTTTCTTTTGCTGCAGCAAGAAAGGAAATTTTCACCAAAATGGCATTTTTTAAAAAATGGTCTCAAAACTAAATATATTCTTTGCAGTGAGGTTAGCCAGCTGAATCATTTTGGTTCAACATACCAAATAGAAACATTCTGGTTTGGATCAATTTCACATTAATTTGTCTTCCCCTGAGCTCCCATGCAGAAGCTGTGGCTTGGGTGCCTTCAGCTTGCAAGCTTTGCTATCCCCCATGAGCTGCAGCGCCAGCCCCATTGTGCATCCCAGCCTCTGCTCTGGTGAACAAAAGGTACCCAGCCCCTATGTAAGCCCCTGAATGTGAAATTCCAAAGAGTGGGAAAGAAATAATCTAATGGCAGTGAGGGAGTCAGCATTTGCTCTAGTCTCAGTACAGAATGAAACAACTGGCTTCACACTTGCATTGCTTTAAAAGTTATTAGAGCGCAGCTTATGGCTTCCCTTAGCCCTGAGCAATTGCACACAGGAGAAGAAATCTGTTTAGAGGGAACAAAAACATTTTTTCTTTAAGTCTTTAACATATACAGAGAATAAGGGAGCAAGAGTGGTCTAAAGGTGCAGCCATTTGGGATAAGCTACCTAACTCACCAGGGTAAGTAACAGGTTTTCTTGCATATTTAAGCTGCGAGAAAGAAGTGAGGAGCTGGTGCTGTGAGGAGACGGGAAAGGTGTAAGCGTGGAAATCCTGGTGCGGGAGGCAGTGATTTTGAAATGGCAGTTTTATGAGAACTCAGAGTACTGGCTATGCCAAGCACCTAGACTGACTCCCCCTGGATAGATGGGCCCTTTCTTTTTCAGCCAGGCAATTATAGTCCTGGCATCTTGGGTAGTCCCAGAGCTCAAGAAGATTTATTGATTTTTACATCAAAGTGAACTGAGTAAGATGATGACTTTCGCAAACAGACTCAAGTAAGGTTGTAAAACTTTCTGGGCAAATTTTAAATGTAAAATGTAATTGTACACACAACGCAACAGGTAATTCAATGCATGTGATCCATAGCCAGATCTATATTACAATTTAATTTTAACCTGGAAAATTTACCTGTGTGAGAGAACTTTAATGAAAAACATTCTAATTTCCTGTTTTATTGCAATGTACCAATGGTAAGGTTTTCATACCATGCATGCGTCTGCCAAAAGACATAGAACCTAACAGGATAATCAAGTAACTACAGTTTACAATATATGCATTTTGGCCATAGGCTTACTGAAAAAATTGCAAAGAATCCTCCCTAAATCAGTGGCCATGGATTAAAAATGAAAAAATCCCAACTTCCTTAAAATGTATATTATTATATCTTTTTTCATGCTTCTAAGCATTTCAGTGTGAACTGAGCATATGATACTACTCCACTTTTATATCCAGTATCGTCTATGAAGAAAAATCACAGTACATGTGCATGCTTATCTCCCACAAACACAATCCAGAGGTTGTAAAAAGAGTCTTGTATCCCTTGGAGAATGTTAAACAATAATAATTGGGATACACAAAGTCAGTGTCCTTATTGAATTTACATACATGTAGCTGAAAGTAAGTACTGAGTGAAGTGAAAGCTCAGGAGACCTTAAGAAAACCTGAATAAGTGGTTCTTCAAAATCTAGGAAAATTAAGCCAGCTAGAAGCATAATAAATGATCACTCATGTAACCTGGCATTTACATTCACCACAGTGTTCCTTAGTGGATAAATACATCAAAACACACACAGAAAACCAATAAAACTGGACTTGAGTTGGGAAGAATTAATATATTTTTGACCTTACATGTAACCATGTTGTACTTTGAACAGTGTCATTTAGTCTGTAATATGCATTAACTTGCCCTCCAGATTTATTAACAGTTGTAAAAATTATAGCTGTTTTCTCCTTTGTCTCCTTTGCTTTGCAGCCAGAGAATTTATCTTGATGACCTCCTCTGGCAGTCAATGCTACACAATGACCACATACAGCATATATAAAGATTGCTATTATCTTTTGTAATTTTTATCCTTCTGTAATGACATTGACTACCCCAGCTGAATGTTTTGAAGTTCACCCATCACTCAGGATAACTTCCATAGCTAGATGACATGGACACAGCATACCCTGCATGAGTGAGGAGGTGGCCCTCATTCCAGGACAATGCACAACAAATGAAGAGATTCAAAATTATTTGCATCTTTTAAACTATTTGAATGGGAAAATAGAGTGTATGTTTTCAAGACTTACCTGAGGTTCCAGGAGCAGAAGTTGTTTTCTGTAGAGAGACTGCAGAAGAAAAAGACCACCCCTCAGTAGACAGAGCATCCAAACTCACATTTTGTGCCAGCTGTGTTCCACTTGCTTGTGTAGCTGGAAATAAGACAGATGTTTGGATAAGATACACCTGTATAAGTATTGTCTTAGATCCCGGACCGTCCCTCAGACAAACTCCCACCATCATAGAAAAGACTTAAGGTCAGAAAGCATTACAGCCTCTGGTAACTGTTTGTCAAGTGGCAAAATATCCCTATGGAGTTGTTACTACTGGCATAGTTGAGACATCTTTAAAGCACATCCTAGCATCTGAAACAGCCTTGCATCTGTGCCAGAAGACAGCCTAAAACTCTGGCTTGGGAGCCCAGAATAACTAGACAGTCTTGCACCAAGATCAACATGAGTGGAAGAGAGAAGCTTGCTTACTGCCCTCTATCTTTAACCTTAGTTTTAAAAAAAATAATTAAAAAAAGCAAGCTTCAGCCACAACTGTCACGTAATGTGATATTGTAAAAAGTTTTAGGGATTTTAATTAAGCACAGAGTTAATTATTTAATTCTGTGCTGTTAAATCCTAGGAAATAATATATTTCTGGAAATTAATGTATGAAAAAATAAAGTGTCTTGGTTCTGCTTTCACACAGTCAATAGAGGATCAAGGCCATCTGTGTGAGAAGATTTGTGGCCTAAGTTGAGTCTAAGATGATGGTGCAGGGCACCACCTGAGCCCGTGGAACTGAAGGTCACCAAATGACAAGAAAGAATTTAAGCTGTTCCAGCACAGCTGATAATTCCTATGTTTATGTTCAAGCCTGAGCATAACAGTCAAGACAGTGCCTACTGAATAAAACATAGGGGTGACCAAGAGTAACCTTATACTTCCTTTCTGATATAAATCAGAGATGTGACTGAGCTGTAAACTGTTTTCAGTGCCTCTCCATATGAATTTCAAACACTGGAACTAAAACAACTTTAATACATGCTTTAGTCAAATGAGTGCTACATCATGTACACTTGACATGTGAATCTTGAGGAATGCTTCATCACATGCTTTATTCAGATACTCTCCAGTTTGGCCCCTCAAAGAACACTTTTATCAGGAGGAAAAAAAAAAAAACAAAAAAAAAACCCCCAACAAACAACACCTAAAGCTCCCAGTTCTACCACTACAAACATTTAATTTGGACCTTCCCTTCCCCTCTTGTTTATTAAGTGCAATACCATGGAGAGGCAAGCTTCAGAAATCAATGAGCTAAGAAAGTGAGTTGAAGCCACCAGAGTCAGGGCATTCATACAGCTTTGGAAACTGAGAGGAGTTCGACAGTCCAGAATGGTATCTCTGAATGTCGAGGCATGGAAGGAAACCATACTGAAAATTATGCAAAACAAGCTCAAATGCCTAAAACTGTCATGGAGACTCTAGTGATGAGAAGCATAATTTCACTCTCAGCTCCTTCCAGAAACCTCAGCATTGTACCCTTTCAATATGCAAGCCTAATCTGCAGTAGAGCTGAGTGTAAAAAGCCTCTCTGCCTCATTTTTCACTACACTATAACACAAGGGTCTGAGAACTTAAATAATTCCTGCATTCTCATCATAGAAGCCTCGAATGAATGCTTAAAAGCAAACTTTTTCCACTTTTGGTTCTTACTGTGGTTGCTTCAGACTCAAATTTTAGATGTTGATTTTTAATATAGGTTCAATTATATAAAAAAAAAAAATAAGCCCCATATAGGTTCAATTACAAAAAAAAAAAAAAAAAAAAAAAACCAAAGAACTTCCCTCTCCCTTTAAGATGCATGGACTTGTAACAGCCACCATCTTGTGGCCTTTTTATCATAAGTTAGTGAAAGATTGCATGGGAGAATGAAAAGTAAGGCAGAATAACAGTAAGCCTTCCAGTGCAGAGACATTAGAACACAAATACACAATCAGGTGTGTGGGAGAGATCAGGAGGGAGGCAGCCAGTTGCCTTGTAACCCCACGGAGAGCTGTTTTCTCGTAGGGATCATACGTTCCAGGCATCCTATCAGTCCTGGCAGCAGCCCAGCCCCGGGTGCTCCTCTTGTGTTTGGGAGCTGTGAGAACAGATTGTTCTTGGGAACACGGGCTGTGCGCTGGATATGCCTCAGTGGGGGATCAGGAGGGGAGGGATAACAGCACTGCCATTTAATTTTTTTTTAATTCAGCCTGGGTTCGATTATTCCTGTGACTCAGGTAGCACCAGGTATGACTCACACCTTTACCTAAGTCTTGGCATGAAGCTTGTTGCATTTATTTCAGCAGACTGCAGAAAAGGCTCCCTGCTCCTAATGTCAAGAGGTGAAGTAAACATGCTGCAGTGCAAAAGTCTGCGTGCCAGTTTTCACCACGTCCAAGATGAAAAATGCAACCCGGCAGGGAAAGTTCCCTTAATTCCACTGTACTACTATAAGATTAAATCCTAGCATACCAGTTTTCTGATTAATTGTGGCTTTGAAGTAGCTTTTAAGATGCATCCAAGCTTTACGCCTAATACACAACACAGGCTCTACCGTCAACACATTTAGCAGATCGAATAGCTTCTGTGCCAAAGCCGATGGGAACAGAAGCATCCACATCCAGCCGCTGCTCGCGTGCACGACGGCAGCACTGACAGCACAGTACGCCTGCTAGAAATCTGCCTTTCTGATAAATCCCGTAACTCGTATCTATGCGAGGTTTAATTTGATCTCAACAGGAGGAGACAGTGCAAGTCCCCACTGCAGTGCCCGTGCTCTGCACGGGAACAGGTGGGGGACCCTGCGCGGGCACACGGTGACTCAGTCCTGCCATCCCCACTGACACATCGCTGCAGTAATTCATCACGCTCCAGCTCAGCCAGCTGCAGCAAAGATTTCTGCCTGCCTGGCAGGGGGAGGCCTGGGCTCACAGAAGAGCAGCACAGCAGAGGAGGGAGGTTGCTGCTGCTGCAAAAGCACTTACATCATCAGTTAATGCATTTGTTGTCAACAGCTGATTATGAATAAAAATGGTAAAGCAGTAAAAATTGTAAAATAGCTGTCCGAATGGGGATGATTGCTGCAGTGGCAGAACTCCCTGGTGGTGATGCAGCTCTCCCTGCTGATATTTTGATAAGATAAATGACAGTGTGTTAACACATATTTGTCAAAGGGATAATCAACAACAGGGAACCTGAAGCTGCTCAGCAAAGCTGCTGTCTGAGCCTCAGGTATTTCCTTACTCTTTGTGCTCTGAAAAGCCTTCGTTTTCTTTAACCAGCTGAAATTCAATACATATTCTCACTTGATCTTAGCATGATTTTCTGCTTAACCTATGTATAATCCACATATATTTTGATATTTCCCACCCAGTACTTTAGATTTTATTTACAGCAGGCTGTAAACTAGATTTGACATCATGAGATGCTTCAAGTAAGCAGCAAATACTCTGCTTATTTTCTATGCACTGCTAACAATATAGACATCTGTACACGTGTTAAAACCTTACTTGGCCAATCAATGAATCAAGGAAACAACTTTACAGGGCAGAAGGAGCTGCATCCAAACCACATTAAAATGCCAGCATGAGGGCTTTGTTGGATGGAAGAATAAACCTTCTCCCTTGAGCTCCTATCTTTAGCATAAACACACATACAGGACTCGCCCCTGTAATCAATAGCTTGAGAAACCATTTGCATTAACTAATGCATTCATGAAAGCTTTGAAAAATCCCAGTGAAGCAAAACCAACGCAACTTCACTCCCATTCCAAGGAATGAAAATTGGCTAGGGAGGTAACCAAGTGGATCTCAGTTTTAATGTTTACAGCCATAGCTGATTGTGTTCTCTGTCTACCAGCTTTACATTTTCTGGTAGGCAAAAAACCCCAAGTATTTAAAAACATATATTTTAAAACATCTCCCTGTCTAACATGTCTCAGCAGTCAACTATACTCAGTGTTTACCTATAGCATGCTGTAAAGACCTGAGGACAACTGAGCAATACATGTTACCATAACCCTCTTCCAGTAGTATTACTGAAGTAGAGCTTCCTTCTTAATTACCAGTAGTTTGATAAAAAGAGAAAAAGTTTATCCTCCACTCTTTCCTTTTCTTACTTTTCAATATTTAGTATTTTATTGCATCATGATATATCATCATCCAGAAGACTGGCATGAGATAAACCAAAAACACAACAGCCAAAAATCCACTCTTACTTGTAATTTAATACCTTGAGCACTGACCTTGCATAAGATGCTTGCTCCATATCCAAGGAAGGAAGAGCATAATCTTTTGTTGCATTTCATTTTGTGTTCTCTTTGATAACTTCAGATGTTCTAAGATGTGAAATCCTGGTTGCAGATGCAACTTGCTGTAGTGTGGCACCATATAATTCTTGTTTTGGGGGCTGGACAGCACAAGTGAGGTCACTGTCTGGCTAAATGTGAACTATTGGATTTGACCCCTTATACTAATAAATAAGAAGGTTAAGGAGACAAGTCTAATTGCTGGCTTCCAATATAATAAACAGGGTAGGAGGGCAAAGAGGAAGAGATTGTACTTATGGCCTTCAGAGGGAAAGAATACTTAAGACTTTTTTTTTTTTTTTTTTTAATAAAATCGTTTGCATGATTTCACAGCATATGGAGCACTGGGGGCTTTTCCTGAATCTGTAATAAAAGGTGACAGCAGCCACAGAAATTGCAGCAGAGACAGGAAGCCCTGTCAAATCTCTGCTGTTTGAATGTGACCATTCACTGAAGCTTTTAGTAGGGATTGAAGCAGAAAGTGATGGCCTCCATTACAAAATAACTGAGGTGCCTGCTTTGTATTAAAACCCAGGTGTAGTAAAGGTAAATTTTGACGTGTCATAAAGACACCACCGATTTCTGCCTCAGTCGCATGCAGACAGCCCAAAGGGGGGAGAATTGAGTGCTAGTGAAAAAGAGTAAGAGAGAGTAGATAGCTTTCACCTCCTGTCCATTTTGAGAGCAGAAGTCTTCCTATGCCTGTGCTCACTTCAGGGAGCGCAAGTCCCCCAGCCCTGCGCTGCTGCTGGGGGTGCTGGCAGGGACTGGGAGGATGCAGTGAAGCCAGCGGCGCCTCACTGTGCCAACATGTGGGGTGGAAATGGAGAGATGGCTGTAGCCAGCAGCCAGATGGTGGTTGAGGGATTTGTGGGGTTTCTGCAAGGGCTGGCCACACATCTGCACAGCTCCCGTGCCATGCCTTGACCCAAAGCCACTACCTTGTGCCCTGTCACACTCCTTTGTGTTGAAGCCAAGGCTATGACTTTCTTGAAAGGTAGACCAGAATTTTGTTTTAAAACCCACAAAAATTCATTTTCACATACACAGTTTTTCCAAATATTACTTAACATTGAAAGAAAATACAAAGTCTTTTAATGTAGGACAGTTCCCAATGTCTTCTTTAATTTTCCTTTTACAAAGGGTAGTGAGAGGCAGGTAAACCCTGTTCCGAGGCTTGTATGCCAACCATTTTTATCACAATTTTGGGGGTTGTTTTTTGGCTTAAATGAGGAAGTTTAAAAACAAATCACAGCCCAAGCAACTAGGGACTGAACTCTAGCTGGTGGGAAGAGAACACAAGAGGAATAGAAAGGAAGCGCATTGGTGAAACCTTCACACCCACATCCACTGTACCTCCAGCACCATTGTGCCCCCTGCACCAGATTTTCAGGGCATCAGTGCAGAGCAGTGGCTGGAGCTAAGCTGCACTGGCAGGCATGCTTTTCCTTGTTAGCTTTCCTTCCCCTGCTGAGAGCTCTACCTGTCATGAAGCCTTAGTTCCAGGTGGCTGTGCCGCTCAGGCACGCACAAGCCAGGAACCTCCACCAAGCCGAAAGGACTAGGAATTGCATCCGTAATGCGATGCACCATGCCACGGGCTTCTGACAGGCCCACAGGGTCACAGATGCAAGCTTAAAAAGACTGTTTGTGGCCTTCGGTATCATTTCAGCAGCTTGTGCATTGGCCAAACTGTATTTTGTGACTCACCAATACTGGCATTTAAAAGCCAAGCCAAAACCCAAAAGACCTGAAGGCTGACAATCAGACTGCTCCCTACACCAAGCTCAGCGGGAAAGCTGCATCAGTAGAAGATGTAACCATAAGTGAAAGGGTGATTGCTCTCCAGGGAGCTTAGCAGGCTCAGGTTCATGAGGGGTGGCTTTAGAGGAGAATTTGCACAAAGAAAGCATGCAGACCGTTTCATAGGAGTCCCTTTGTAGGCAAGGAAACCAAGGGAAAAGAATTCAAATTCCAATCATTTCTCACAGTTCAGTAGGCTCTAAATATCAATTCTGAAATCACTGGTGCAACACTGACTGCTGATTTAAATATCTCGAGTATTTAATTTTTAATTTTTGAGTCAATTAAATATAAAAAATGGTGTATTTCAAAGCTCCGATTCAGCAAAGGACATTTACAGTCTTTTGTAAGCAAACATTTACAATGCAGTTCATAGACAAAAGAGGAAGACTGAATTTCATCTTAAGTTTACTGAGCTCCTTTTGAATGTTGTTATACTTGTTTAAATTAATCAAGCTACTTGCTGGATACATGGGATTTTTTATTTATTCATTTTATTTTTCTAGAATCCAACCTGATGTGCTGGGCCAACATACATGTTATTCTGAAGATTTATGGGCAACAAAAGTATTTCCTAAAATTGATGCAGGGTAATTAGTACCACATCTCTGCTTTCAGTACTGTGACTCATAATAATATAGAATATAATTAACTGTAGCATTGTAACATATATAAAAATAAAGAAAGGAGGTTGTTCTGACACCACTCTGATCACATAGAATAATTTATTTTTGATTAAATACTTATTAAAAAAACCAAAACACCACAGAGGAAAATAAAAATTAAAAACCTCCCCAGTACATCTCTCCCAATTACAGGGAGATTAAAATCCTGTGTAATGGCTTCAGATCATCTTCACTACAAATTAAAGGTATGATATTCTTTGTGTAAGGTTCTAGGGTAATATTCATTAAAGATACGTAATATGGTAGGATGAATAGCTCTGCTTCCCCAAACCTCCAAATTCATAACCCAAACTATGCTTTTTAACCTCCTTTTATTGCTCCGTACTGTTTTGCAGAAAGATGGCATACAATGAATCAGAAATGGCTCAATGAAATTACCACTTACTGTTTGTTGTGCTGTCACTTGTATCTGCTGATGTAGCGGTCACTTTTACTGGTGCTTGTGTTGTTGTACTTTGTGTTATTTGTTGTGTAGCATTAGGTGAAGAAGGTGTGGAGTCTAATAAAGGAACAACATTAAAATTATTTCCTTAAATTTGTATACACACATATGCACACACACAAAACATCTACTGCCTTGCTTGCAGCCTACTTTTAAATTAGCAAAAGAAGATTTCACTTAAATTGAAGATCAACAGGGACAGCACTCCCTTTACTGCAGAGAAAGCCACTCCCTGTCCCACAGGTGGGTCATCCCACTGAAGACAAACTTATGATAGATAGAGCAGTTACAAGACCTGGCTTGGAGCTGCCTTGAGCCTGACCAGCTTCTGTGCACACCTGCGAGGTTTCACCAAAGAGTTCACTATCTGTAAAACAAGTTCCCAAGCCAAAAGGCACTGCTGCTTGATTTCCCGGACAACCACTGGAACAACATCAACAATTAGCTCAAATAAATTTTCACTTACTGCTTGTGATGGATTCATTTGTAGCTATGACTGCAGTTGTCGTCAGCACTGACACTTCCACTGTGTTTGCTTGTAAAGTTGTTGCATTCACAGATTCCATTACTGCAAGAAAGGCATTCACATCTTTATTGATTTATTTTACCACGCGTAAATAAACATCACATACCTCTAGCTGCCTTTTCTCACAAAGGCAGTGAATTTCTGTTTAAAGTCTGACCCTTACAGACCTTTCTTACCCACACATTTTTTAAAGAGGATTCAAAGTGCGTAGGGTTGGTATCGGAGGGAAGGTTTGGCCTGTGGACAATCCACAAGTTGCCCACTGAAAGTTAGCAGCTGTACCTTCCAGCCATCCCCTAAGGAAGAGGCCTATGCTCTTTGGGAGTTATACAGAGGTGCTTGGCATGGCTTCCAAGGGAAGAGGAAAGGAGCCTGGCATGGATAGATGGGTTCACTGATGCTGGACTAGACTGCAGACCAGCACTTTGCTGCATACCTGTTTAATAGGAGGAGGGATGTAAACTCCCCAGAAGTGTGAGTGACACATAGGAACACAACTTATATATTACAGGTAAAGAACTGAAGGGGAAGGGACTCTCTGAAATTTTTTCTACTCCTCTCTGCTGTCCACCTCAAGCCCCGCTTGAGTCTTTCTTTGGCTAGCTTTCCCAGACCCTCTTCCTCTACACCCATATTTCTGGAGAAAAAAGAGCACCCGAGAGGCCTTCCTCTGGGGTCTGAAGCAAAGCTTAGGACACTGTGGATGAAATGAGTAGGATTTTCTAGTAAGTGATGTTATCTGGGGTGAACTTGGTGCCCTTTGCAAGGTGACTCCTGGTAGTTCTCTCCTCCAGAGAGGTGAGATTTGGAGGCTGGGGGGAGAGGAAGGGGCTCCCTCAGGCAGCAGGGATCACTTCCAGCTGCTGCTGGTACAGAAAGAGGGGAGCACAGTTGCCCAAACATCACTAAGGCAATAGCAAGGTTTAAATCAGCGTGTGCATGGATGGCATACTGCAGGTCCTATGTGCTCCTCGCACATGCTCAAGGGAATGGACTGGCCAAATTGCTGCTGAGGAATCTGGGCTAAAACCCCCATAACTAATCATTTTAAGAGCCCAGCTTTCACTTCTGTAATCTCATACAAACAGAAAATGCTACTGTCAGCTACAGAGACTCACTTATATCCCTGACAACAACCCAACATGTGTCCTACTACCTCTTCTAGCACTTTGCATAGGTGTGATACATGAAAGAACAGGAACAAATCATGATGTGACATGCCATTTTCCCTCACATGACTTGAGTACTTCTAAATGCAATGTTCACACAAGAACTTTTAAAATATAACTTATATTGTCTTCCGCTGCTCTCAGTTTGCTGGCTGTTCACCTAGAATAGCGGTGCCTCAAAGAATGGACCTCCTTGGGAGTTTGCTCCACACCCACAAAGTGCTTTAATCTCATAGTGGGCTTCTGATGCTTTTCTTATAGGCATAAATAACAATACTGCTTTCCCTTCTGTGACAAAAAAGCTGCAAGAGATATTTCCGTGAAGCATTTGAAGAGCTCATTCACTGTGAGGTGTTGGGCCTTTATGAAATGTCTCTGAAACAGACATGAACATCAGGGTTTTTGAAACATAAAAGAACTGCAACGCAATTTGAAAAGGACTAAATCTTCTGCTGTAAAAAACATAACATATGCATTCTTCCCCTGGCTGCATCTTATTCACCTCCATTACTAGCACTGCAAGCGTATACATCATAATCATCTCAGTGCTCTCAGCTCCAGACAGACTCATTACTATCAACAGTTACCAAAAAATAGAATCCTGTGTCCAAGTTTTCTTCTCTCATATGCATCACTTATTAAATGTAGCAGCCTTCAATATTCAAACTAACAAAGGAGTTGATATTTAGCTCACATGAATGAAATATGATCAATATTGCTTTTTCATAACTACAAAGCTACATGATAAAGAGAACTGAATGTGTCAGTTGAAGTTGTAAACCAGAATCACAGATTTTTACCATGTGAAGCAGAGACAGAGAGAGAATGCAGCTTTTGAAACTGAGGACACTGGTGCCACCCCCTTAGCCCCAAAAGTGAATATTGACATCAATGGTTTCAAGAAGTTATCAGTGGCATTTTTGCAAATGACAGCATTGTGCATATATTCTCTCCTATTAACTGGGGCCTAACATTGGCATATATTGTATAATTCTTTACTATTGAAGTCCACGTCCTGTTCTGTCACCCTACACCCATCAAATCAGCGACCTGCTGCTGCCATATCCCTTAACTGATGCTGTTTCCCAAATTATTCTCAATCTGACAACCTCCTGAACTATGAGTCTTAGCTAATTTCTTAATATCTGATCACACTTGAACCGCTCCTTGAGAGCATAGGAACTCACAGAATTTCAGCCTTTTTCACCTGAAACAAAAAATGCAGCCTGCTCAAATTAACCCCTCCTGTGCTGGGTTTCTGTGGCGGGGTTTTTGGTAGAGGGGGAGGGGGCTACAGCTGTGGTCCCTGTGAGAAGCTTCTCAAAAGCTCCCCTGGCTCCAAGTTGGACCCGCCTCTGGCCAGGGCTGAGCCAATTAGTGATGGTGGCTGCACTTCTGCGATGACATATTTAAGAAGAGGAACGTGAGAGGGGGTTGGGATTTGTGTAGAGGAGTTACAAGAAGGACACCTATGTGAACACCGAGGTCAGTAGAAGGGAGGAAGAAGAAGGGGTGAGATATGCCAGAGAAGAACCCCCCCTGTATCCTGTGGTGAGACAGTAGGGCTGCCCCCACTGCCACCCATGGGTCCATGGTGGAGCAGAGGCTGACCTGAAGCCCGTGGAGGAGCCCACACCAGGACAGGTGGCTGCACGTAAAGGAAGCAGGGACTCTGAGGGGAGAAGCGGCCCCCACTGCTGTAGTTTGGCACTGGGAGGACTGCAACACGTAGGGGTGACCCACGCCAGATCAGCATGGGAATGGCTGCATCCTGTGTGGAGGACTCACACCAGAGAAGGTTCATGGATGACTGTCTCCAGTGAGAGGGAAGCTATGTGGAGCGGGGGGAGAAACGTGCAGCATTCACCCCACCTCCTGAGAAGGAAGGAGTGGTGAGCTGACTGTAACCCCCATCCCCTGCCCCCTGCACGACTGGGGGCAGGAGGGAGAGAGATCGGCAGCAGAGCTGAGTCTGGGAGGAGTGTGGGGGGGTGGGTTTTGGGTGTGGTTTTGCTTCTCACTGTCCCACCTTGTCTGTTAAGTGTTGTTTTTGTTTGTGTTTGAATTAAAGCGATGTTCTTTTTCTTCCCTTAAGGAGTCTGACTTTTGCCTGTGACCATAATGGGTGAGCCACTCCTCACTGTTCCTATCTCGATTCATGAGCCTTTTTTTCCTTCATTTTCTGCTCAGCGCTGGGAGGGAAAGGGTGAGTGAATGGCTGCTTTGTGCTCACTTGCCCTCTGGGCTCAAACCATGACACCTCTCCTTACTAAGATCCCTCAATTCTTCCTTCTCAACAGAGTTTTGTAAGAGGCCCAGGGAAATACATTGGTCTACAATCACCTTACGTTAAATAATTCACCTGATTTCTCCCAGAAGTTGGAAAAGTCGAAAGCTAAGTAGGCAATGGGAGCTTCAGAATACCAGATAACAGTGAATTTGAACTCTTACCAGACTTTGATGTTGATGTAGAAACATTTGCACTGACGGTACTGTTTGGAATACCATCTTCTGAAATAAACACAGAAAGAATTATATTACTTCAGCCACCTTCCAAACCTACGTAGCACTGCATAGGCATATAAGGCAGAGAGCAGCAAGGACTTTCCTGGAAAATCAAGAAGCTGATTAGCAGAAGCAATGAAATCATATAAACTGCTAGCAATGTTTTCAAGCTGTATCCTAAATCTCTTAGCTTTGCCTTCACTGCTGTAACAGGGAGCAACTGCTGTGGCCTCCCTCCTTGGGCTGTGGGTTGTTTCCTGACAGGTAGTAGAGTCTCTAAGACTAGTTGGGGGAAAAAAATGGAGCAATTAAAGGTGTTTTCCTAGCTTCTCCTCTCCTCGAGCACAACCACAGCTACTCTGGGTCTTCAGGGTAGAGGATTAACTAAAATAACTGGCTGCAGGAGTAAGCACCCATTCTCCTGCCTTGGCTAGTACAAGCACTTCAGGAAGGATTTTCAGTGTCATCCCTGTATTTGAGTGGAAGAGGAGAATTCACAGGGCATGGCTCATGAAATACCAGGTCAAGAAACGACTGACTTTCCCCATTGCCCTCAAGGCAGTGCTCCAGCTGTTGGGAATTTACTCTAGTAAATTATGCCAGTCTTAAAAATCCTAGGTCAGGTTGGAGACTTTCAGCTGCTAATACTGCAAAACAAACAAAACATTGGAAAAACAAACAAACAAACAAACAAACAAAAAACCCAACAAAAAAAAAAAAAAAACAAAACAAAAACAAACCCCACCAAACTAAAAGCAAAATAATTTCTATACTTTCTGGCTGCACCAAAAAGTTGTAACAGCGTAACTCAACTAAAGTTTTGGCTTCAGATTAGGTTTTCAGTCTTGTTGCTGGGGTGTTCATATTTTTCTACTAAAAGAAGTTAGGCAGGGCTTGGAAGGGGGTGAAAAAACAGAAACAGTGTTATTTCTCAACCATTTTACATAGCTATGAGAGAAGGATGGGTACATCTGGGGAGGAAGAGATCAGCTCTGTGACAGAATGGGAAAGCCAAATGGCACAGACTAATCCCCCAGTGCTTTCAGGTTTGGAGCGTGACATCCTGTCATGCTGCATTAGCATGCTGTAATACAGATATCGCAAAACTGAGTCAGGACAGCATGTCACTATTCTTGTGTGACTCCATTCATGGTAATATCTGCTGGCATTCTCTCTTTTTTTGGCTACAGGGCAGAACAGTCAGCTTTGTTCCCTTTGCTCAGCATGCTGCGCTCCGATTAACATTTCACGAGCACCACCGGAGGCCTGCCAGAGTCACAGATCTAACCTGGAAAAAAATAAACCAAAACATAATACAATTGCAGGATCTCTGTGGGCACATATTAAGTAAGATCTAGTCAGATGAGCCCTTACAACTCCTCTTCAAGCAGTATAAGGTGTTATCAGCCCTCTTTGCACCTGTGTATTTCTGATGTGTCTCAGCTGGGAAGTTGCCCCTTCCCAGTGAGCCCCACTTTTTTGGATATCTTTTCTAGGTATGCTGATGCCTTCGCAATGCTTTGTCACAGCACGTGCTGGCTCAGTTTGATATCCCATATCAAATTAAATCAGTTCCCTATGGGCCCGCTGCTGCCCCAGCCGTACTCCCCGGCACACATGAATACAGTCAGGCTATGCACAGCCCCTTGCACACTGCATTTAAAATACTGGTTTTCCTCTCATTTAGCTATCCAGTCAGAATGTTTCATAACCCACACTTGAAATACTCTGAAAATAGATTTTATCCAAATAGACCACAAAGCAATCTTGTTTCCCTAAACAACGACCATTTTTCTGTCTCTTAATTTTCATTAAGAGCTGCTGACAAAGCTCCTGTAATTCCCCACACCACAAGGCCACAGCACTAAAACAGAATGTTTTTTCAACAGTGCCTACATTTCATATGGTTTGTTATCACATCTCTCAGTAACTGCCATGTCTGTAACACCAGCTAAATGTACTAGCTGGCCAGTTAGATCATTCCCTAATTCAGTCTTCCCCTAACTCAGCATGACTTTGTGGAAAGCCCATTGCAATACTTAGAATATTCATCTCATAATTCAACTCATAGAATATTCATCTCAGAATATTCATGGCGTTCCATTTAATAGCCATGTTGATAGGCCGAGATTCCCTCAGAGCTAAAAAAATTGAGGGTTTAAGTCACAGTTTTGTTATGATTCACAATTTGCTGATTTTATCACAGGCTAGAGAGAAACTAAGGTAAATTTGATTAGTGGAGCAAAATAAAGTAGAATTTTAGGAATTGTTTTCTTAAAATGGTGGATAATTAAGTATACTTTAAAAACAAGTTGAAAGCAACATGCAAAAATGCTTCAAACTTACCAGGATTTGGGAGGAACTGGTTGATTAAAAGAAGAGATAGAACTGGTGACTTATTATGCTCTTATTTTCCATATTAAGTTGTGACTAAGGAGAATATATAAGGGATGAAAGCAAGAGATCAAAAATGATTGGGCAAAGAACTTCGGCCCATTAGAGACTGTTGCTACACAAAGAGACAGAAAGATTCATTTGTCTGCTCAGGTCAGGTTGGCAGCAGCCTCGGCTGATGGACAAGCAAGTAGTTACATTTGCATAGTTTTCAGCAAATTTAGATGCAGTGATCCCTTTGATAAGAGCACCTCACTGTACTCTTATGTGGGAGTAGCCAAAATCTACTCAGCAATTGCTCCCACACACAAACCCCTCCCATTTGCCATGCTTGCTAGCAATAAACTCAGCCAAAAGAGTGTAAGTGACCTGTGATGGAGCACCCTTGTGTCTGGAGAACACATGCAGAACTAAAAGGTGCTCAGACATGACACTGGGCTGAATAAAGGGATGATGGTGGTGGTGGTAAGATCCAAAAAGAAAAAAAAAAAAAAAACAACCAAACAAAACAAAAACAACAAACAAACACAGGACTAAAAGTAGATAACAAGGTGAGAAGAAATCAGAACTGGGAGAAAAATAACAGGACAGGAAGATGAGAGGAGAAGGGCAGGAAGGCCCAGAGACAGTAAGACAATAAGGGTGTCAGGGAAAAATAAAAAGGAATTAAGAAGAGCTCAAAAAACATTTGACCTATGGCCACAAGGCCAAAATGAAAAAACCTGTAACTGCTGGGTTGTTTTGTGTGGGTTTTTTTTTTCAGGTTCACAGAATTTCCCTTTATTGTCTTTTCTGGCTTAGATTTAAACGGTACATTTGTTGTAAAATTAAAGCAACAGTATAATCATTTGTATCTCGTCTTCAGACATGATTTCAAAATGAAAGAACTGAAACACTGAACTTCCTTTTTTAAAATTCAGAAGGTGTCCCTGAATTTAGCCAGGACTGACCAACAGCCAGTTGTCTTCAAACTGCAGCTTTAGAGGTCTGAGCTTGGAGCTCTCATAATTTTTTCCTCTCTCTCTCACATTATTTTTACCTTTACACTGGGAAGACTGAGATAAGCAGGCTTTGACCTTGTGTTAATTAGGTGCCTGCTATTGATATAATCAAGACAGAAAAAAAGCAGAAATTAATGTGTGATATTACATCAGTAGTTCTGTTTATACATTACAGAATACTACAGGGCACAAGCCACTAAGTTTAAAACACCACATGAAACAGCTAATACAAAAGTGAATGCCAATAAGTCAAAACAAAAACATTTTTAGAGATTAATAGATTGTTCAAAATATACATTGATTCTGTTCAGTACATGAATTGCTGAATTTCAGTGCTGTCTGCTTTGGCATCAGTATGTGATTTTTAAAAGAAATTATTTTTATGGAAAAGTAACTATCATTACAGAAATAGTGAGTGAAATGGTCTCATTTTTTTCATTTGATCTTGCAGTAGGTAGACAGGACCATAAATTCATATTAAAATCCCTTCATTCAGATGAGCACTGCTTAGGCCACAGCTGAAGTACGTGGTCCAGCTTTGGAAGGGTGTTGAGAAGGGTGTGGATGCCTGGAGCAGGAAGGTTAATGGAGAACCATAAAAATCATCAGGATTCTTGAAAAAAATGACCTCTCAGGAAGGATTGCAAAAATTGTATTTGTTTAGCCCAGAGAAGGAAAGAGCAATGGAATGCATGATAATGTCACTCAAGTAGGTGAGGGGCTGCAACAAAGGAATAAACTTCTCATTACGTCCACTGAGGATGAAACTAGAGGTAATGGACAAGGGAAATTTGGACTAGAAACTTTACAGGATTTTGGTGCCTGTGTCAAACTGATGGTGTAACAGCCAGAAGCTAGTGTTTGAACCATTTTCCTGATGACGACGTAAGATATTCCCACTCAAAACCAAAGCAATATCTAAAAGGCTGTAGCTGGGAGCAATAACCAAAAAAGTGTCCTGAGGAAACCTGCACATGTTAATTCCCTGCTTCAAGGCTATAAAACAGAATCTACAGGTGGTTATACTATGTTTGTTTATGGTATATTATGTTATATTATGGTTGTTTGTGTGACCCTGTGCCTTTGAAATTATACACAGGTCATGGAGAAGTCAAAGTTGCTTTCTTGCTTTCTGTCTTTCCACACCATCAGAAATAAATATTGATCTTTTTCCAGGAATAAAATGATAATTCTGCCAGCCCCCATGACCGTGATAGAGCCTCCTGTAACAGCTGCTCCAGCAGTATCCGTGGGAAGACTTCGTCTGATGTTTTGTCCTTTCTGGAGAGTTATAGCTGTCCTTGTGAGAAAAGCTGGTTCTAATATTCTCAGAGTTCCCAATAAATAGCTGCTGCCTGACAATGTGTACAACCTGTTTACTCTTACCTTGGAGCTCTATTGACCATAATGTTTTCTCTTTCATTTTCATTTATTGCTGCTTCGTCTCTTCTTTCTCTTATATGATCTTTCCCCAGGCCCAGTGTAGTTCTTACACATTTGTTATTTCTGCTTTCACTCCTCACCCATCTTTCTTTCTCAGTTCATGACCTTCAACCCTAAACCTTGAGATAAATTTCTTTTTTTCTTTTGGAATTTTTGTGTAAATATTCA